TACTTTCTATGATAATGATACCTTTTCATCAAGGAGGATGAAAATGCCTGAGTGTGTGTAGAAAATGTTGCAGAGCTAACGAGGGGGCTACTTTAGAACACAATTATTATTCCAGAATGTCTCTCTGTATAAACACTGTTATTTCATGCAGGAAATTGTGCCTTTATGTAGTTCATTTTAACCTACTTTCAAAGGAGATTAAGCACTGCCAAAGTAATCTTTTTACAGCAAAATAAGCACTTCTACATAGAAAGTTGAGGTGTTATGGCAATTTTTGACTGGTTTTGTGTATTGAAAAAATCCTCACCTTTTAATAAGAAGAAAAATGATTGCCTCTAACACCAGTATGAAACTTCAGGAAAGCTCAAAAGCATTATAAAATTATTGCCCATCTAGAGTGAGCCAAAAATTATATTTAAAAAAATGAAAGCTATTTCTTATTAATTATAGGCCAAAATACTCCTGAGGTAGATTTAATGGTGCTGTTTGCACTGCAATCATCTCAGGACCTTGTTCAAAGCATTAGAAACAGCAGAATCAGACTGATCAGGTATTCCTTGTGGAGACAGTCTCTGTTATATATCCTACAGAATGTGGTCCAACAGAGTTAGGATCTTGGATTAGGTGTTGGGGTAATTATAGCAATATTATTTATAAAAATCATGGCTAATATTACCACCACTGAAAGAAAAAAAATAGCTAGAAATGTTTAGAATTGAAAACACAAGAATTCTTTAAAAGCTACATTTTATGTTTCTCATCAGTGTTATTTCACTTATTTCATTTTCCCCAGTCAGGTTGAGAATTTCTTTCAAGTTTTATGAACATTGAAGTCATTATGAAAATTCCCTAACTGTCTGTAGAAATGCAGTGTTCAAACCACGTGGATGAACAACAAGTAGCATGTGTTAGTTGCACAGTAAGAAGAATATGTAAGTCAGGAGAATCCTGGAGTCACTCTATGAGAAAACTATTTTCAAAAATCCTACAATTTACTGATCCCATCATAACTTTATAATTTTTACTCATAGTAATTACACAAAAATTATATAAATAAATATATTGTCCAATATATATTATTTAAGTACGTAGAAATCTACTTACATTTATTTGGTTCAGAATAATACATAGAGTATGCATGTTTATGTGGAAATTGGTGTATGAGTTAGTCCAATGGCTTAGGCCAGCAAGGTGAAAATTTGATGATGGAAAAAGAAGAAACTCTGTCAGGTATCAGACTTTGTATATTTTTCTACATAACAATTTGTAATACAACTGCTGTTTTCACTTAACCAGGCAATGACCTAAACCTCCAACCACCGAGAACCAAATACCCAAATTCCCGCTACATTAAACCTTCATTTTCAATCATGCTGCACGAGTTCAACAGGTTACTGCAACTGATGACAAACTGGTATTGTTTTATCAAATGTGTATGATCTATGTGTATTTTATCCAGCGTGTATGGTGCATGATGAAATGTGTATGACCAGCTCATGACCCCCAGTTGTTTCTCTGCCTTGCTGCTCTCTTGCTGTTGAGCCCAGCAAACAAAAGCAGTTTTTTTCCTCAGTTCCCATGCAGCCTCCTTCACTTCCTACCACAGCTTGCCTACATTAATTAGTACTAAGCTTTTGATATGACTTTGCACAGAGTTATTTTCAGTATTGTTGCTGCCATGCCATCTGTTTCTATGGAATGAATAGACTGTCTAGAGGAACACAGCGACACGAGCTGTGCAGGGGTTTTGTAGCACTTTTTTTAGTGCATTTTCAATTCAATCCCTTTTTACAACCTGGTATTTTACTTCCCTCTTGCTGGCTTTGTGCATTGTGGGAAACTTCTCAGGGAGTTATTCCATGGTCTTTTCTTTCCTCAGGATTAATTCAAATTTCTCATGCTAATAATGCATTACTTTGTTGATCTTTTTTAGGGTTCTGCACTGGAGGAATCCCAGAGCAGACACACTCCTGGGACACCATGAAAGCTCCACTTAGAGCTACCAGGTAACCCCTGGAGCCATTGACTGAGATTATTTTAGGAGCTTCTTCTACTACACAGAAGCTGTGCTAAAGTTTTTTGGGTTGTTTTTTTTTTTTTTTGATAGTTCAAATATACTCTTTTTTTTTTAATTCTCACTTACTCTACCAAAATACAATCTTCCTGTATTACTTTCCTAGCCAGATGCCAGCTACCTTGGTCCTAAAACCCCTAAATTACAAATGTATGTCCTATGCTGAGGCTTCTCACTGGTCTCTAATTGACAATGTTTGCTAGTACATTTTTAAGTGACAAACACGACTCCTGACATTTTTTGGTTACTAGCTCTTGTTAGGAGCCAAAAAAATAAAGAAACACATAATTCACTTATTCTTTTCTATTTCTTTTAGTAATTTTTTTCAACAACATCTTCTTCCATTTTTCACACATTTATTTAAAATGGTTAACTGGGAAGGATGCCTTCCAAGATATGCCTGACTATCTCTGTCCCTCCTCAGGTAAATACAAATGCAAATAAAACAGTTTAGAATCTCTGCCACATCCTTGTCCTCACTAACTACAGCTCAATAGACTCACAAATTCCCTCCTGCCTTACTACACCTGGTATCTTGGAGCTGTCTATATTGTTTGCATGCCTCTGGCTATTTTTTTCTAAGGTATCTTTTTATGTTCACTAATTACTTTCCTCAAAGTCACTATCTAGAACTTCTGCTCTTTTCTGATCATTTGTTTGGAATCTTTTTTTTTAAAGACACCTTTTAAATTAAAATCATTTTAGCATTCTGCAATACACATTTGTTCTTTGCAACTCATATTTCATGTGGCCATTTTCAAACATGCTTCAACTTTTTATACAGTGTTTTTGCCTAATATGAGTTTTCTGTTTTATACGTTTTAATTATTTCTTTTAAAAAGTCATTCTGCTGACAAACTAATTTTGACATGGTCATCTGTGTTAAGAAGTTGAATTTAATTTTATTTTTAATTGCAATTACCCAGTAAATCAACCACAGTTCTTTGCTAAATCAACTTCCTCTTATATACGTTTCTTACCTTATTCATTTAATACATTATTAATAATAAATTATTACTAATTTCTGCAACTACTGCTCACTTTTTTTTTGTTGTTCCTATTCTTTGCTAGACAATTACAATCTAAAAGACAAAAAAAAACCCCAAAAAAACCCCAAAACCAAGCCAAAAACTCCCCCACTAAATAAGGGAAAATAAACCAGAGAAGCATTACTTTGTTTTGTAGAAATTTTAGTTTTGAGGTTCAAGGAAAAAAAGCAAAACTAAATCTGGATTTTCAAGTGTGGATTATGCAATAGCACTCATTTATACTGGCTACTTCTGATATTTTACTTCAAATTGTTTATGCTCTTGTACCAAGAAAGTGCAAAATGTAGATCAATGTCTCTATGTAAGGACATTGTTCAACAAAACTACATATGTTAATGCTACAAAATTTAAAATCCCTAAGCTATCAATAAAATAAGTATGCCATTGCTATTTGAAATTAAACTCTCAGGCCTAGAACAAATCAGAACAGAGCTATCATTGTGGTGTCACCTGATTAAAATCATTATTGGAACATCCATACTGCACCAGAACCTGCTTGTGGGTGAGACCATCTAAAGATGCTAGCAAACTTGTTAAATTAAAGGTAAATTTTTAACTGAGGTGACAGTGATGAAATCAGTGCTGCTAGATCGTGCCTCAGTGCTGAAGAATGTTTCATAGAAATAAATGATGGAAGAACAGTTTAGGAAAGACTGAAAGTTGTTAGGCTGTACTGAAATTTCACACCGGTCTTTAGACTACGACTGGATGATTGGCACATGACATTTGAGCCCACACAAAATCAGCTGATTGTCTCAGGATAGGTTTTTAGGAATGGCTTTCAAAAATTAGAACTGCTAGTCAAGTTTAAAGCTGTCAGTAAAGTGAATCTAAAGAGCAAAGTGGTGAAAAGACCTCTCCTAAAGGAATGAGAATGCCAGGACAGCCAAATAAGAAGGGAGAACTGAGCTGTCTGTGCTGAGAATGATCTGCAACAAAGATCTCCACTTATCAGGACTGCCATCCCACCACCCCTCAGAGCAACTAAATGCTTTAGGAAAATAAATAAATTAATACCATTCAGAGAGATTCTTTCTCATTTACCCTCAATCTGCTGTCCTAAAAGACCTCTGTTGATTTAAAAAAGGGTCAATATTGCAGTGTTCATGTCTCTGACTTATTTGGATGAGACAAACATCATAAATTTTTGAAGTCAAGGAAATTACAGTCTCTAATAAAATACAGGATGCATCAAATAGAATAAAAAGACATATTAGATCAAAGTGCTATTCAAGGGTTCTACAGCTGGCTCGACTCCAAAAGAAATTCTGAAGGTCTTTTTGAGATCTATCACACTCTTTCATGCCACATAACCATAGTCAAAAGGTGACTAAAGAAAGAGGCAAGATTTTGGAATGAGACAGAAGGCACAGAGGAGCCTGACAAGAGTCAGTACTGTGTGGGCTGAAAGATGATCAGACCCAAGGCTCTTCTTCCTTCCAAGCTATGTAAACAGCTACTTCAAAATAACATACATACTGTTGATTCACAAGACACTTCTCAATTATAGAAAGAAGCTCCTAGGTCTGCTCTCTCAATTTAACTCTAGATTTAGAAAACACTAGCCTGGCAACATCAACCTTTAAACCATCTACTGAAGAAAATTTTGAAAATAGTCCAGTGTAAGAAAACAAAACTGAGCAACTCCCCCACTAATATTAGCTGACACTTTTGTTGTTGATGATGACATCACCCTAAGAACAATCAAGATTTTGTCTATTTTAAAAAAGCACTGAACAATGCCTGAATCCAAGAGAATCCATTTCCCCCCATTCCTAAGATTGTGCCTGTGTTATTCCTAGCAGGAAGAGCAGGAAGAGCTAATTTTTGCTGCCACAAAGGGAGCGCTCCCACAGAGCTTTTTGAACAGTACTTACTCAAATATGGTGGCTTGTAAGGCGCTCGTGTATTAGACAGCAGTCCATCGAACTCCTTCCTTTCCAGACTGTTGTGAAGGGCCTTCTCTTTGCCGAAGGTGGAGAAGGACCTTTCTGCCCCGGGCTGGGCTTCTGGTGTTTCAAACACCTCAGTGTCTGGAACGGAGTCCATGCCAGGCACGTGCAGATTGCTGCGGTAATCTGCAGCTTGGCGTCCGTCGGATGGGACAAAGGAAGGCATCCAGCACCGATCCGAGTGGCCCAGTGCTTTACACTCCTCTGTGCAGTTGGAGAAGAGATCCATGCCTGCAAGCATGAAAGAAAAAGAAACTGCAGATATAAGCTTCAGCATCACCAACAGCTGCTGACAGATAAGATTATGCCAAGGAAAGAGAAGCGGAAAGAGAAATGCGGTAAGAACTTCTTCCACTAGTTTCATTTCCTCAACAACATAAAAGCTGTCCAGTCTTCAGAAGTCAAAGACACCCTGTAACATGCCTAACTAAATGCCAGAATGTCACACACACACAAAAATATCACAAGAAGAAGAGTATCGGTGGTTCTGTCTCATAAAATCACTTGCAGACCTCGTTGTCTGGAAGCCATTCATAAAAGATTCAATCTGCTTGCAGCTTGATGTCTGTGGTTCACTGGTTGAAAATACCTGCTTAAGAACATGAAGGAATTGTTTCTACATAAATGTGTCTCTGACCAAAGAAATTAAAAGCCTAGATTTAGAAATCCCAGATTTCATTTATGAAATGAAACATTAACGAGGCCTATAAAAGAACTATCTGTGCATACATTGGTATAGAGATGGGGCCTGTTGATATTAAGAGCAGATGTTACAAAGTAGGAATTGAACTTCCAAGCAATCAGGAGAGCTCAGTCAATCATTACATCACTCTTTCAGAGACAGTTTTCAGTGCTGCTGCAGCAGTCCTGGCTATTATCAAGTCATCCAAGAAATGGGACAGAACCCTATAATAAAATACTGCAATTAGCAGTACAAAGGCAACTGTAGTCCAGTGTGATGTGGCTGTGGATGCTATAAAAAAAAATTGTTAATGCTTCCCCTGTATAAGCAAACAATTATCCATGCCAACATGAAGCTGTTTGCTTACAAATCCTTTAATGCTCTTAAGATCTCACATGACAAGCAATGCAGCTTTTGACTACTTTCAGATCAGCCTTCCAAAGGAATATTTCCAGGCTAAGAGTCTCTAAGTCATTGGATTATACTTGTGAGGAATGGTGTAGGAAACCACAGGGACAGAGTAAAATAAACACCAGCATCTCCAAGTTGGTTTGTCCTGCTTTTGGGATGGGATAGAGTTCATTTTCTTCCTAATAGCTGGGACAGTGTTTTGGATTTAACATGACAACGATGCTGGTAACACATTAATGTTAGTTGCTCAGTAGTGCTTACACTAAATCTGGGATATTTCAGTGTCCCACGCTCTACCATGAGGAAATGCACAAGAAGCTGAGGGGTAGCTTGGCCAGACAGCTGATATGAGCTGGCCAAGGGCTAATTCCATACCAGAGAGCATCATGCCCAGTATATGAACTGGGAGGTGGCAGGGAGGGGCCAAGCACTGCTCAGGCTGAGGAGCAATCAGTGCCTGGCGAGCGAGTGTAGTGTGCATCACTTCTCTATTTTCAATCCTCTTTCTCCATCTGGTTATTATTGCTATTGTAATCTTTATTTCAATTATTAAACTATTCTTATCTCAGCCCACAAGTTGTACTTTTTTCTGATTCTCCTTCCCATCCCACTAGGAGAATGAGCAACTGTGTGGGCTTAGCTGCTGCTTGGGTTAAACCAATACAATCTTCAGCACCATACTAACAAGCAGAACAGTAAAAAAACAACCTCTCTTGCTTGTATTTATAAAGAGAACCGAGCATCTTAGGTGTGTGTCAAAACTGAACTAAATCTGTTATAAACACTGCATTTACAAGCGCTTCATTAGAATTACAAAAAAATAACGCTACTCATAACAGAAACAGGAAAATTTCTGAAGAGCTGCAGTACAGGGGAAGAGGACAGAGCCTTAAGCTGTGCCAGGGGAGGTTTGGGTGGGACATTAGGAGGAATTTCCTCACAGAAAAGGTGACCAGGTGTCAGGACAGGGAGGTGGTGGAGCCGCTGTCCCTTGGAGGGGTTTAAGGAAGGACTCAAGGACGTGCCTGGGGGTGTAAGGATGTGGCACTCAGTGCCATGGCCTGGCTCACAAGGTGCTGTTAGGGCACAGGTTGGACTCTGTGATCTCAAAGCTCTTTTCCAACCCAGCTGATTCTGTGATTCTGTAATAAGATTCATGTAATGTAACTCATTTACCAGGCAACATTGTGAAGAACTGGATTAGCTCGATCTTCACTGTGAGGATTAGTATTAAGAATTCTACCACAGTTTTGAACTATAATTTGAATTATATTAATAATATTTATGTAATATCTCGTCCTACAAAAAAACAATCTCTTCAGAAAGGAGCACTGATTATGAGCTATCAACAAGTTCTCGAGAAAGAAAGGCAGTCATTTAGACAGAAAAGAAATCATGAGGAAATGAGAAACAAAAGCTTTTGTCTCAGATTAATCTCACTTTATAATGACTTTTTAATTTTAAATTAAGCAATATACAATGCCAGGTCCAGTTTCGATTAGAAGCTTGCCTTGATAATTGGCATGCAGAAGCCTGAAAATATATTTCTGATCAGTGAACTGTTGAAGAATGCAAATGTGAACTGCAGATATGCCCAAGGAATCAGATGAAGATCATCAGGCAAGGAGAAAAATAGTGCAAATATAAATTCTGTAGTGGCAGTAGTTATCAAAGACTGAAAAGAAATATTTAGATGCAGGCTTCCCAGAAAGAAATTCGTATCTAACAATGTTTATAAATCCATGTGTGTGTGTATTTAATGTATTGAAATATCTGAAGAAAAATTTTTTTGCCTTTCCAAAGCTTTAAGGGACAATAAACACAAAATAGTTATTTCAATCTGCAGACTTCTTGGCAAAGCTACATGTAAAAAACAAATAGCCCTATATTTATTGAGAAAATTATAACAGTTCCCTTTTGCTGATAAGGTATCAGTGACCATATTCATCCAAGCTTTCCTGAAAGACAGGAGGAGAAAGAAAAACTTAGGGGCAAATATCAAATTATATTCTTTGGTCTATGGGGAGGGAAAGATTAGAAAAATATTGGTTTAAGTATATGCACTAAAATATATATCCGTTTCTTCCCTTCATAAGCCTTTATTTCACCTGGAGAATTACCCTCCATTTTACTATTTTGTTCTCACATCAGCTGCTAAACTGCAAAATGTCTCTATCCAAATTTTTTTTTTTTTCCCTTTTGAATACTGGTTGTCTACTGCAGTGCCCTGAATGGAATTATATAACAGCTTATTATAAAAGAGATGTTATAGCCACTATAAATCAGGATTTTGAATAAACAAAGTAATGAATGTAGGGGATATAAAGCATAAGCTTGTACTGCAAACTTTTTCTCTCTTTGAGAACTTGTAAAAAGAAAAAAAAAAATGTATATACATTGGAATTTAAATATACTCTGCTGGAACACATGGCTAAATGCAAATGGTTGTTTAGAATGGGAAAAACATGTCCAGAGAGCCAGGGGTTAGGAATGGTTCCAGCCTGAGGCAGTCACAGCAGTCCCTAAGAGTTTAACAGGTGCAGAACCAAGCCCTCGGGTTTAGTATTTTGACAGAAAAGAAATTCAAATTAGCAGCTTATTTTCAAAATCCCTGGGCAGCCATGCAATTTACACTGCCTGTGGTATGAATGCTGCCTATTCTTCCCCACCTTTTTCCTGTGGGTCACAGTATAGAGTTTTCTGCCTCTGATTGAAAAACATTGAACACACCATTGGGGAAGAGTAAGGGCTATTTGCTCTTTTCCAGGAAGGAAGGACACATCATGGTAAAGAAGTCAGACAGCACAGAACTCCTGAATACCTCAAGAACCATATTCTTGATTTATAACAAAATGTCCAGTAGTTTAACACTTCCATCTCATCTCCCTCATAAATTGAGTTATATATATATATAATCCTTCTGAACTAAACTAACCAGCATAATTACAAGCCCACATTAGAGAAAAATGCTTTGTATTTTTATTCTTTCCCTTAATTATGCTGTTAGACCTTGCACATACAGATAAACTGAGATTTTAAAGGGGACTCTGAATGAGGAATTTCAAATGCACTTTGTGGATCCAAGCAGGCAGCAGAGTGCACTGAAGTTCTGACAGAGATCAGCACTGCACTATTCCAAATGCAGCATACATGGAACAACTCATGGCAAAGGCCACTAACTCACCCCTATTTCATTTCCAGGGGGCCAAGTGGGCAACATGAGCCCTCCCACAACCTTGACTTTGCAGATTTTAAAGGAAAACAAACCCCTGCCCGTCCCTCCAAAAGCTGCCAAGAACAAGGGAAGGTGTTAATTAAGTTTGATGTCTGAAGTACCTGAACTCAGGTGCTTTGAATCACAGACTTGGCAGCAGTGCATTTTGGAAGCGTGTTCCCAATTTGCTTCCTTTTCATATTTCAAAAGGAGAAAAATCAAAATTTCTCTGTGAGTTTTAATTGGTTTGAAAGACTGTTTTGTCAAGGCTAAAAATTAGGCCCAAATCCATTTTTATATAATGCATCCTTTCTCAAATTAATTAAGGGAGAAGAACCATACACCAAGAGCAACAAGCGAACAATTTCATCACTCAGGAAAAGTTGTAACAAAAATAAAAATACAAATTAAATGCCGATAAAGTATTTTTTGCAATACCATTATTGAGAGGGGTTTTTTCCCCAATGTGTATAATTTTTTTTTCAGAAACTTGCCTTTTACTTAGAAATAAATGACATTTCTGTTTCTCCTGTGCTAGTTAGATGTGAGATAGGTGTGATGTAGGGAATCAGAGCTCCCATTCGCAGAATAATTATCCATTTGGTTAGATTATCAATGAGCAAGTTGCTCATTTCCCATAATTCACATTTAGCATTGTTAAATAAGGATAATGATGTCAACATATTTGGTAGCTATCTACTGAAGAATTGGACTTTATAAAACAGAGTTATCCTCACTCTTTCTTGCTATGTAATTGGTGTTGTGCCTTGGATAAAACTGACTTCATCTGCATCAAAACATAAGTAAAGACTCAAATATCATCAATATTCAACTCTTCAAAATCTTAGCTTCAAAGGCCTATCTGGACCACTCAGATGTGAACATTTTATGAATGCAGGCCAAGGAAGAAGAGGGGGGAAAAACAACAAACAAAAAATAGAAGTAGCACTTAGCTTCAGTCAAAGCACTTTTCTAAGCCATTTTCATGTTCACTCTCACTTTATCTGAGATAGACTTTTTGCCCAAGTGATCTTCAAAACAGGATTTAGCTGTCAGTCTGCATAGGCTCAGAGGAAATACTGGTTTTCTCTGTCCCTTTATCACTGAACTTCTGACTTCTCTTATTCCTCTCCTTATGGACACTGAAATATTGCAGCTCTCCTGCCGTAATGAACCCTCCTGGCATTCAGCTAATCTGTGCTGAAGAGGTGTGAGCCAGTGTTTCACCCTGTGCCTTTGCATTAAATCCTCACCGTTTCCCTTCATAAAATCCAACAAGAAAAGCCTAATTTCAGGTTTCAGCCAGTCACCAGTGTAAACTGTCTAAAAACAGACCAAAAAAAGCTGATGCATTTTACAGGATATTTGAGGCAGTGCATCTACTTGACTCCTCATCTTGGGCATTCCTCCCTGAAGTGCCACTGAGATATTGTGCCAATTCCATTAAAAAAAAAAAAAAGGATAATACTGTGATGGACTCTGCTTGGGAAAGCCAAGTAGCTCGTGAGCAACCATATGAAATAAATTGATGGCACAAGTCCAAATCTTACAGGACAGGTGTCTAACCATACAATTTAAATGTACACACATGCAGAGTATTAATTGGCACCCAAGCTGGCAGTTCCACAAGGGAGGCCAAGAAATTAATCAACCATGGGAAATAAACTAACCTCATGCTTGAGAACTACTCCTACAGAACAGGGCTGGAATGCAGCTGTGAGTAAGAAGCAGAAGTGTCGTGTGAGTTGTCTTTGTTCTACAACAAGTAGCAGCTTTTCCCTCAAACATTTTCAAAGAAGAGCTCAGGTCATGAGATCCCAGGGTCTGAGAAACCCCTCCTCTGTTTGCCAAAAGCCTCCTGCACTTCTTCCCCTTTGTAAAGTCATTTTTTCAAAAAGCAGGGATTACTAACCCAGTCAATGAAATAAGTATTCAATCCACAAAAAATTAGGATCTGGAGCATCTCACTCCAAAGCAATTGAGAAGTCATTCCCTCTATTTTTCCTCTAGCCATTCGAGAGCAAACAAGATTTTTTTCCCCATAAAATTCATCCCCAAAAGCTCATAACAAGAGTGAAGATATATGTGAAAATATCTTGTCATCACTGAGGTAAAAGGGCACATTATTTGCATGAAGACAGCATCATTCAGTCCAAAATTTACAGGAAAAGTAGACAATATGTGTGAAGAAAATTAAAGCTGTTTCTACAGAGATTTGTATTTAAATTTTTATTTGGGACTGGCATTTAAAAAAATGGTGCATGCAAATTATTATCAAATCTCAGTACTAGTATATTAAATTGGTGTATTGTGAGTTTTCAGTTCCAACTACTAATTTTGAGTAGACTAAGCCTAATTGTCAGTTTTCATTACTTATTACATGATCACCACTGAAGGTACAGAAGTTCAAAAAGTATATCATGCTTTTAAATAATTTCAAATCATTTAAGAATCTGGTGGGATTTGTGAAATTGTGAGTATTCTGAGATTTCATTTCAAACTATTAATTGTGAGTAGACCAAGCCTAATTGTCAGCTTTCATTACTGACTACGTGATCACCACTGAAGATAAAAAAGTTCACAAATCACATCAGATTCTTAAATTATTTGAAATAATTGAAAAGCACAGAATAGTTTTTCTCCACTATTTGATAAATTAGAAAAGAAGAAGAATTTACCCCACTAAGGATCAATGCCAAATATGACAAGTATTCATAGTCTACTTCTAAAATGGAGGGAAAGCATAAAGAAGAGAGGCACAACAACAGCACAGAATGCATCTAAAAGAAAATAGCTTTCAGTTGATGTGCAACTATGTGATTATATTCCCACCATCAGTCAAATCCAGCCCCTTCTGCAGATGTTTATTCTTTTCTCTCCTGTTTGGTTATTATGGTTCATTATGTTGAGGGACTAAGCTGATTGAAATGTTCATGGAGATGACTGCTGCAGTAAAATGCGTAAAAGAGGGGAAAAAAACAGGAATGCAGGGAGGGCAGGAGGAGAGAGAGCTTTTTATAACTCAGTAGCCCTGATTGCTGCATCAGAAAGAGTGCAAAAGAAAGGGTGGGGGGAGGCTAAATGCATGGCTTTTTCGAACAATAATAAATCATACGCCATATATAGGCCAAAAATGAAAGAGGCTCTGTGTTCAGATGTAAACTTCTGGCAAGACCTGGTTTGTTGTCAGGTTCCCAGACACAAAATAGACACTCTGTTCACTTAGCATGAAGCCCTGCAAGAAGCAGGGAGCTCCAGAGACTCTTGGCTCTTCTCAAGTCTCATTAGGTCTGCATATTAATGACTTGCAGCAATAGAAAGAGGCCCTGTGGCAGCCTCCTCTTCCCCTGGTGCCTGGGTTTCCCATCGTTAAGGGCAGAGTGACTGCAGCAGCAAGAAAATAGGGGACATTACCAGAGCAGGAGGGTGAGGCAGCACTGCTGTGACAGCACTGGGTCCCCTGCCCTGCTGTCTCCTAAGGTGGGGGTCAGGGGGAAAAAACAAAAAGCAGAACTGACAGTATTTTGTATGACACGGTTGCAGCAAATCTTTGTACGTGACAGAGCACAGAGGAAACAAGGGGAAAGGCACAAAGATGTACCAGACCTGTGGAGACTGTGGTAGGAAAGAAAGCCCAGCATTTGTAGCTAAAATGCAGAGTGAGGGTGAGCGTGAATTCTAATGCACAGGCTCTGAACAAATGTTCCTTTCAGAAGCAAACTGACAGTATGAGAACTAAGACAGCAAGCCCTACATATGGGCATAACACTGCAATGTGTGTATTTCCTAAGTGATTCATAGTCTTTTAAAGCCTTTCTCTCTTCTGTCAAGAAAATGTATTTAATAATACCTTATTAACATGGACACCACTTGCACTATATAGCGTCTCAACTTGAATTAACAGACAATCCTCAGAATATTCTAAGGTATTACACATTCAGAGCACCCAATGTGTCTCCACTGATCCCCTGCAAAAAAAAAAAACCTCACAGTCTGGCTGTCATTCAGTCATTGGATTCATTCTTTCCCTTGGGAACTCCTCCTTCACTTCTCATTGCTGTGCCAGCTGAAGTGCCTACTAAACAGAACAGCTTAATGCTTTGAAATTCTCTAAATCTGCCACAGGAGAAAATGCACTATAAAATGTACCAATAACTTTGTTTCAACGTGCAGGAAGTTCTGCTACAGTGAATTACGCAGTATAACACACCAATTCCCATCCCCAGCCAAATGAATGGAATAAATTCTGCCCCATGACCAAAAGAGGTTCAAAATGCCTCCTTGTCCAGGCAACTGTAGCAGCATGCTGATGTAAACCCAGCCTCCCAAAAAATAGATATGCTCACCTTATGTACGCCTCTCTTGTATTATATTCCCATAAGTAACTCTTCCTTCTAGTCTCCCTACTTAAAGAGCCAATATTTCCATTCTCTTATCAGACTTACCAGAGGATTGACCTCGATTAGTGGCATCATGATCACTGTCTCCTTGCTCACTGTCTCCGTGACCACTGTCCTTAGAGCTTACTATGTCTGCTTCCTGGAATGCAGAACTAGACACAGAAACATCTTTACATTAGAACACACATGAAAGAGCAGCTCAGGAAACATTCTTCCGCCATCACACGGCCAAACACTGGTGCTGCATTTCTCCCCCCGGCCACAGCTCCTGCCTGCTGCACGGATTCCACCGGGGTGCCCTGCCCACCACCAACCAAACCAGGAGGGATGCCCAGACCTTGCAGGGGACAGCAAGGGTTATTACTTGGCAGCATTTCCTTAGCTGGTCTGTGAACTTTAACTCAGCAAGACAATGTTTTCTGGGAAACCCTACAGGAGCATATTATTAAGTATTTGAAGCATGTTCTAGACTAACACAAACTGAGATTTTGTTCCCTTTTCAGACAGTTTTGAAATCAGTTTAGAAAAGCCATAATTCCAACTTATTTAGTGCATCTACATACATTTGACTTCCCACTGCTTTACTACCCTGTCACATCGGTAGTAAATACATTTCTGCACACCATTCATTGCTAAAGCATGCATGAGGAAACCAAGGCTCCTTCCTACCTGTTTACTCGTCGGGGTCTGTCAACTAGATAACTGAGCTCAGCCCGCTGATGCTTTGTCTAGGAGAAAAGAAATTATTGGCAGAGATATAAACTCTTGTTATTTCTGTAACCAGCAGCAGAAAATATACAAGGGAGCATCTCACCATATTCACTATAAATGGCAATGCTTAGCTGCAAGTAGGCCTGCAAAATCTGTTGCTAGAATGTAAAGGGGGAAAAAATTAGATCTTAGTCACATAGATGGGAAGGTGCAAGGGATTTTTCTGGAGTTGTTTGAGACAAGACTCTCATGTTTTCTCACTGTGCACACTGTTGAGCATCACAAGGACTCCCACAAAAAATTAGCATAACTATTTCTGGAGTTGTGGACTACTTAGATGGTACTGGTATTGCACCATAAATAAAAAAAAATGAGATACCCTCAAGTCCTTAAAAAGGCAGCAGAAGCCAGGAGTTTTGTAGACATTTTGAGGCAAGGTCAGTACTACAAATCAATATTAGAGATTTCACTGCAAAACTTAATGCCTTAGAACATACCATTCAAACTACCTTTGTCAGACTGGACAACACTGATGTTTCAGTAGGGTAAGAGAGAATGGGAGGTTTTCACTAGTGCACAGGCAGAGAGGGGCTGACAATATATATGAGCTAACCCAGCACAAAATTATTAATGAGAGAGTAATATGGCATGGTAAATGCTTTAGTAAAAACTCTCTACACACCGGGAAACACGACACAGGCGAGATTGAAGGGGACATTAAGTCTCAGCACACAATTTTACAGACACTCTTTCTCAGCTGCTCTTCTTTGCAAACTTTGGGGTTATAAAGAGCTGTGAAAAGTCAATTGTTAAACCCTAATTCACAAATTAATTAAAGCTCCTGCCAACTACAGCAATTGTCACAGTGCCAAAGGGGGGATTCCCCCAAAGCTTTACTCGCACATGCAAATACTTCGGGAAGGAAAAAGACACGGTTTAAAATTGCTTCAGCACATCCTGTGATTACACCTCACGTCACTTCAGCCTCGTCAAGCGGAGAGATTCCGCAAAGAGCCGCATCCTCCCCCATCTCTCAAGCCACAGCTCCGATGCTGCCCAGCCGGGGGCAGATCCCTCCAGAGGCACCGGGGGTGCCAGGGGGGCTCGGGGGAACGCGCTGGGCTGCGAGAGAGGATGGACTACGGGGGAAAGGAGGGGGACTGGGAATGCAAAACGCCTTTCCCGACAGGAGAGGAGGAGGAGGAGGAGCGGGAGCTTCGGGAAGGATGCTCGGGGATGAAGCGGGGATGCGGGGCGCAGGGGGGTGCCGGTGCTCACCTCGCTGGACAAAATGCTGCCGTTGGAGATGATGTCGGGCTGCTGGTCGGCGTAGCCGGTGACGATGGCCCCGCAGGGGTTGTGCTCGGCGTCGGTGCTGCGAGAGGGGCTACAGGGCTTGAGGAACATCAGGTCGGTCTTGGCGGACTCGGGGGTGAGGCAGACTTGGTAGCAGTAGTTCTGGTTGTGGTGGTGGGAGCCGAAGCTGCCCGACTCCTCCACCGGCACCTGCGCGGGGTTGCTCGGCACGTTGGAGCTCTGCACCAGCATGATGTCCGACTTGCTGAGCTTCTTCTTGCGCGCCCGCGCCTGCCGGCTGCAGCAGGGGCAGCAGCAGCAGCAGCCCAGGCAGCAGTCGCTGGCCAGGCAGGTGTAGATGTTGAGCTTCTTCTCCTTCTGGCAGCGCACCGCCAGGACGATCATGGCCAGCAGGAAGATGAAGGAGACGGAGCCCAGGGCGATGATGAGGATGAGGGTGAGGTCGAGCGCGTTATCCCCCCCGGAGCGGCTGGGGCGATGCTCTCCGGAGCCGCCGCCGCCTCCCCCGGGCCCGGTGCCCGCGGCCGGGCCGGGTCCGCCGCCTCCGGAGCGCTCTCCCGCGCCGTCCACCAGCACCACCTGCACGGCGGCGGTGGAGGAGAGCGGCGGCTGCCCGTGGTCGCGCACCTCGATGACCAGCTCGTAGGGGCGCTGCGGGTCGCGCTTGGCCGGCACCCTGCGGGCCGTCCGCAGCTCCCCGGAGCGCCAGTCCATGCGGAACAGCCCGGCCTCGTTGCCCCGCGCGATGCTGTAGGTCAGGCGGGCGTTCTCGCCGTCGTCGGCGTCCACCGCCGCCACCCGGCTGACCAGGTAGCCCGGCTCGGCGCCGCGGGGCAGCGCCTCCCGGGCCGGGGTGCCGTTCCGGCCGGGCAGGGGGCTGACGATGGCGGGGGCGTTGTCGTTCTGGTCCACCACGATGATGTGCACGGTGGCGTTGCCGGCCAGCGGCTGCGGCTCCTCGCCCGCGTCGCGGGCCTCCACCTGAAAGCTGAACTCCTTGAGCTGCTCGTAGTCGAAGGAGCGCAGGGCGTAGAGAAAGCCGTTCTCGGAGTTGATGGAGACGTAGGTGAAGACGGACATGCCCTGGATCTGGCTCTCCAGGATGGAGTAGGCGAGGCGGGCGTTGGCGCCCTGGTCGCGGTCGGTGGCGCTGACGGCGTAGATGTAGGCTCCGGGCACGTTGTTCTCGCTCACGTACACCTGGTACACGGGCTGGCTGAAGCGCGGCGCGTTGTCGTTCACGTCGCTCACCCGCACCTGGATGGACTTGCTGGTGCTGAGCGGCGGCTCGCCGCGGTCCCGGGCCACCACGGTCAGCGTGTAGGCGTCGCCGCCCGGCTGCTCGCGGTCCAGCGGGCCCTCGGTGACGATGGTGTAGTAGTTCTTGAAGGAGCTCTTGAGGCGGAAGGGCGCGTCGCCCTGCAGCAGCTCGCACTGCACCTGCCCGTTCTCCTCCGAGTCGCGGTCCGAGACGCTGAACAGGGCCACCACGGTGCCCGGCGCCGCCGCCTCGCTCACCGCCTCCTTGACGGTGGAGAAGCTGATCTCGGGCGCGTTGTCGTTGGCGTCCAGCACCCGCACCAGCACCTTGCAGTGCGCGGGCACGGCGTTGGGCCCCAGGTCCTTGGCTTGCACGTACACCTGGTAGACGCTGCTCTCCTCGTAGTCCAGCTCGCCGCTCACCTCCAGGCGCCCGGTGCGCGGCGCGATGCCGAAGAGCTCCCGGGCGCGGGCCGAGATGTGGCTGCTGAAGGAGTAGATGATCTCGCCGTTCTGGCCCTCGTCGGGGTCCGTGGCGTTGAGCTGCAGCACCAGCGTGCCCGGCGGCGAGTTCTCCGGCAGCGACACGGTGTAGACGGGCTGCTCGAAGGCGGGGACGTTGTCGTTGGAGTCCAGCACCCTGACGGTGAGCAGGGCGGTGCCGGTGCGCTGCTGGGGCTGCCCGCCGTCCACCGCCGTCAGCACGTAGCGGTGCACCGCCTGCTGCTCCCGGTCCAGCGGCTGGTCCAGCACCAGCTCGGCGAAGCGGTTCCCGTCGCCCTGGGTCTGCACGTCCAGGGAGAAGTAGCTGTTGGGGGTGATCTCGTAGGTGCGCAGCGAGTTGGTGCCCACGTCGGGGTCGAAGGCGCTCTCCAGCGGGAAGCGGGTGCCCGGCGTGGCGCTCTCCGAGATCTCCACGGTGAGGTCGGGCTCCGGGAAGGAGGGCGGGTTGTCGTTGATGTCCAGCACCTCGATCTCCACCCGGAACAGCTCCAGGGGGTTCTCCAGGAAGACCTCCAGGTGCAGCAGGCAGGAGGGGCTCTGCTTGCAGATCTGCTCCCGGTCGATCTTCTCGTTCACGTAGAGCACCCCGGTTTCCAGGTTAAGCTCCAGGTAAGGGCTGCGGGAGTTGGGCGCCGTCTGGAAGCGCCGAGCCGAAAGTTTTGTAATGTCCAAGCCCAGGTCCTCGGCGATATTCCCCACGAACGTGCCATGCTCCTGCTCTTCCTGCACCGTGTAATGGAGCTGGCAAAAAGCCCCCTCCAGCATCCAGAGCGAGGCAAAGAGGAATAGCACAACCATCTCCAGACGGGGAAAGAGATTCCCCCCTCCCCGACACCGCCGCTGCCTCCTCTTCCCAAAGCCACCTCCTCCTCCGAAAATACACAGTACAGTGTGTGTGTGTGTGACTGTGTGTGTGTGTGTGTGTGTGTGTGTGTGACTGTGTGTGTGCCTGTGCACGCGCGCGCGTGTCCGCGCCTGCAAGCGTGTGGATAGAGAGAGAGAGAGAGAGAGGGGGATCGGGGGAAAGGAGGGGGGAAAGGTTGGTTTGGGGGACTGGGGGGGGATGCTAGATACTATTTCTTCTGATTCATGTTAGGATTTTTTTTCTCCCCCATCTCCCCCTCCTTTTTGTGACGGGTATTATTGTTTCACACGCTGACCAAACGAAGAAGACAGGCGTCCCCGCTTCATCTGTGATCTTCGAAATATACGGCCAACTAAAATAGCTATTAGCCGGCTGTAGCTAGAGACACACTGTAGCCCTCTTTTATTTATTCCGAGAGTCTTGGCACTGCACCGCGGCAGCAGCAGCGGCGGCGGAGACAGCAGCAGCAGCAAATTCCAAGGAGGAAATTTTTGTATTTCAAGATTGTCCTCGGTTTGTCTTCCTGGTGGGACTTGGAGGGTAGATGCTGCTGGAACAGCCGGTGGGCATGCCCTCTTTGGATGCAAGGAAAAGGCAGAAAAAAAGGCAGAAATTAAAAAAAAAATCACCCGCAGAAAGATTTCATATTTAAAAAAAAAAAAAAAGGCAGAGAGCAGCTTAGCTACCCAAAACTTTCATTCCCCGATGTCCCTGGTATTTCCCTTTTATTTTCTTCCTTAATTAAAATATTTTAAATTTTTCTCTCGTCTGTCAGAGGTCTCTCCTTTTCTTCTCTTATTGCTATGAATACGTTCATCATCATCATCACTGTGCAGTTACGGCGGTGCCGATCGCGGTGGGGATTTTTCCCTCTTTGCTGCCTTCTCTCCCAGCCCTGTGTCGGTGCGCCGCCGTCCCGGCTCCGCTCCCGGCAGTTTCTGAGCGGGCAGCGCTCCGCGGCGCTGCTTTTGCTCAGCGCCCGCCTCCCGACAGCCAATCGGCGCGCAGCACCGCCCCCGGGGGCGGCGTCCCATTGGCCGCGACGCGCGTCGGGTGCGCTGCGTCACGGCCGGGCCGGGCCGGGCTGCGCGCGGGCTGGGCGGGACGGGCGCGCGCCGGGCGCCTCCGCGGCTCAGCGGCTCCGCGATCCCTTCCCGCGCAGCGCCCGGGGGTGCCTGCCTCCATCCCTGCCTCCATCCCTGCCTCTTTCCCTCGGTTCCTGTTCCTTCCGTCAGTCCCTGCTCCTTCCCTGCCTCCATCCCTGCCTCTTTCCCTCGGTTCCTGTTCCTTCCCTCACTTCCCTGCTCCTTCCCTCCATCCCTGCTCCTTCCCTCCGTCCCTGCCTCCTTCCCTCAGTTCCTGCTCCTTCCCTCCATCCCTGCTTCCTTCCCTCAATCCCTGCCTCCTTCCCTGCCTCCTTCCCTCAGTTCCTGCTCCTTCCCTCCATCCCTGCTTCCTTCCTCAGTCCCTGCTCCTTCCCTCAATCCCTGCCTCCATCCCTGCTCCTTCCCTCAGTCCCTGCTCCTTCCCTCAATCCCTGCCTCCATCCCTGCCTCTTTCCCTCGGTTCCTGCTCCTTTCCTCAGTCCCTGCTTCCTTCCCTGCCTCCTTCCCTCCATCCCTGCTCCTTCCCTCCATCCCTGCTTCCTTCCCTCAATCTCTGCCTCCATCCCCGCTCCTTCCCTCAATTCCTGCTCCTTCCCTCCATCCCTGCTTCCTTCCTCAGTCCCTGCTCCTTCCCTCAATCCCTGCCTCCATCCCTGCTCCTTCCCTCAGTCCCTGCTCCTTCCCTCAATCCCTGCCTCCATCCCTGCCTCTTTCCCTCGGTTCCTGCTCCTTTCCTCAGTCCCTGCTTCCTTCCCTGCCTCCTTCCCTCCATCCCTGCTCCTTCCCTCCATCCCTGCTTCCTTCCCTCAATCTCTGCCTCCATCCCCGCTCCTTCCCTCAATTCCTGCTCCTTCCCTCCATCCCTGCCTCCTTCCCTGCCTCTTTCCCTGAGTTCCTGCTCCTTTCCACAGTCCCTGCTTCCTTCCCTGCCTCCTTCCCTCAATTCCTGCTCCTTCCCTCCATCCCTGCTCCTTCCCTCCATCCCTGCCTCCTTCCCTCAATCCCTTCTCCTTCCCTCCATCCCTGCTTCCTTCCCTCGATCCCCGCTCCTTCCCTGTCCCTGCGCCTTCCCTCAATATCTGCTTCCATCCCTGCTCCTTCCCTCAGTCCCTTCTCCTTCCCTCAATCCCCGCTCCTTCCCTCCATCCCTGCTCCTTCCCTCAATCCCTGCTCCTTCCCTCCGTCCCTGCTTCCTTCCCTCCATCCCTGCCTCCATCCCTGCCTCCTTCCCTCAATCCCTGCCTCCTTCTCTCCATCCTTGTTCCTTCCCTCCATCCCTGCTCTTTCCCTCAATCCCTTCTCCTTCCCTCGATCCCCGCTCAGTCCCTCACACACACACACACACACGCACTCGGCTGAACGCCAGCCAGCCCCGCTCCTTGGAGAGGGAGTTTCCACCCAGCCGCCGCCAACTTTCCTCTCCGGTGGAGCTTTCGGAATAAAAGCGTAAACAAAGGGAAACTTCGGCGTTGTTATTTGTTATTTCTCCTTCCCCGCCCCTTCGGTGCGTTCCGCGGCGGGGGGAGAGCGAGCGCAACTTTCCGTCATTCATCCGCGCGGTGTTGGCGGCTCCGGCCAATTTAAAGTGCCAGGAGGCTGCGCCAGTATTTTCCCATTTCCATGTCGGAATTTCCGCTAGTGCCTGGGGAAAGCGAGGGACGCTGCCTGTCATTGGGTACTCAGGGTGCCGGGGCGGATATCCCTGGAGGAATCCAAGGGAGACGCTCCGGTACCGGCTGAGAGACGCACCTTTGTCAGGCTGCCGAATGAATAAAGCGTAACAGCATAAAATACTTGTGTGGGGCTTGTCTCCCCGGCCAGTGTTATTGTTTTTGAAGAGCAGCACGAAGCAGGGACGTGCAGCTGCTGCTCTAACCCATCACTAATCCACCCGCACATCTCAGGGCGCGCTTTTCCCGCGGAAAGGCAGGAATCCACATTGGGATGCCGCATCCCTGCGAGCGTTCAGGGGCGGCCCGCACGGCGCTGGCAGCAACCCGCTCTAGCGGAAACGTCCCGGGAGGGGCCGGCAGCAGGCTGAGGTCCGGCTCGGTGCGTTCCCGGCCATCCCGCGGTGTCCCGGTCCGATCCCCACGGATCCAGCGGGATCCAGCGCCCTGCCCCGCCCCGCCCCGCCCCGCCCGGCCCCGCCGCTGTGGCGGGCGGCGGGCGCCCCCCAGCGCCGCCAGCGCCGCACTGCGCCCGCCAGCGCCGCCGGGGCTGTTCCGGTGCGCGTTTTACACAAAAACCAAAAAATTCCCTCAGAGTGAACCAGGGGGAGGGCGATGCGGACGGGACCTCGCTGCCTTCCCTTCCCGTGCAGAAGCGCCGCCGCTCACCTGCCCGCCCGCTGCCGCCAGCTCCCGGCGCGGACGGCGGAGATCGTGCCTCTCTCTCCTGCTTAGGGCACCGGGGGATGCCCGCAGGGAAGCGGCCGCTGCCTGGCACTGAACGCCAGCCGGGCCAGCCCGGTTTAGCCCTTCTCTCCCTGCTGGCGGAGCCCCCGGAGCGGCCGCCTCTCCTCCTCTCCTGCCTTCGAGGAACGCGGGAGCAGCGGGCGAAACCCGGGAGACCGAGCCCGCCCGTGTCCGTGTCCGTGTCCGTGTCCGTGTCCGTGTCCGTGTCCGTGCCCCGGAGATGGAGGGGGACACATCCCCGGGCTCGGGGCGCTCCCCACGCGCGCCCGAGGCGCGGCACCCACGCCGGGGTGCTCCGGGGGGCAGCAGCCCCCGGGAACATACACATATTTATTATATCCGTAATATATCCGCCGCCCTCCCCGGGGATGCGGTCTGCCCCCGCGGTCCCCAGCGCAGCCCCAGCTCCGTTTCGGCTCCCGAGCGGCGCCGGGATCCGCGGCCGCCCTCCCGCTAATGCCGAGTGACAAATCGCGCTTAGGCGATACAGGAACGAGAAAATGATTTATGGATTTTCGCGACGGTCTGAGCCGATGAAGGCGACATGAATTATCCATCCTAATGTGCAATATATCATTTTCTAATAACACAGGGCCGGCCCTAACGCTGTGCGCTGCTCCCTTCGATAGCGAGTATCGATCCGGAGCTTTCCGCCGGACACGTACCTCCTGCAGCACCAGCTGAGATCTGTGTATTTACCTCTTCCTAAAGCCCAGGGCCATGGACAGACCCCTGACACCCTGGCCTTTAGTTTTTCCAGCTGGTACCATTTAATTTGGCAATCACTTTGCTGAATGAAGACTAATCTTTCGTATCACTGCGTTTCACTCTGTGCTGTGATTTGGAGATGGAAGGAGGGCATGCCAGGTTTGTAAATCCTCCGTGCTGATGGGCATGGCACCTGGGTGAGTCAAACCTTTCTCCCCTGCCAAAATCCTCCTTGACACCCCGAGTACAGCGGGGCACTTTCTAACAAGGAGAACAGATGCTAAATATCATACTTCTGCTCACACAGAGCTTCCCTGGCACCTCCATTTACCAAATCTCAAGGATTATTTTAAAGACAAAATTTTTGCTTTTAACTCATACACAGTAGGAAGGTGAATCATCCACACATAAAACCAAATGCATGTGCAAAAAAAGGGGAAGAGCTGCCAGATCTGGAGGGTGCTCAGCCCCAGGTCCAGCCCATGCTGGTGCCCCAAGGCCAGGGCATCCCCTCTGCCCCAGCCAAGTTCTTTTTCTCTTCATCACAGGATAGCAGTGAAGTCATGGTGACATAAGCTATGAACAATCCCAATTATTTATCCTAAATGGCTCCAAGTCTAAAATATCACTTTCACATTAAGAAGGACAAGCAAGTCCTGGCCTTCCATGAGGCAAAAAAAAAACAACCAAAAAAAAAAGAGATGGGGAAGATGGGGGCAAAGGATTAATGCATTCATCATTTGGGGTAAGGGGTTAGATAAGTGATAAGAGTTAGATAAGAGGTGAGCAAATGCTTCATTTCTTATTAGCAAGTACAGCTTTTCCATTGCTCAAACACAAAAGGAGTCACATGTGTAAGGAGACATCCAAATGCACTGTTCTGGAATAAACAATCACTAGTCTAACCTGCACAATGTTTTAGCTTGTAGAAAGCTAATCCCCATAGTTTAGTTGGGTCACCAAAATGATGTTCGGGTTCTATTTTAGGCTCAGTCTTAGTTTCAGGCTGCAAAACACTGTGGCCTCTTTACTATCTGGATGTTAAAAACGCATCAAGAATTGGCCTCCCTTGTCCCTCAAAGGCCCTCCAAGGATTGTTATTCCTTGTTTTAATATGAATGATCTTGGTTAAAAAAAAAAAAACTCACCCAGGTTTTCCCTCAAGGAACTGACAGCTCACGGTGCAGGAAAGATTACTGGAATCAATAATAGGATTAGGATTATAAATAAGAAACAAAAGATGCTATGGTTAGAAAAAGCCTGCTTCCTAAGAGGGAGATGTATCTATATTACTGATGGGGCCTTAGGATGAAATCCTGCTTCAAAGCGAGGTCGATACAGAACAATTTCTCAAATTAACTAAGAGGCCTGGTTAAAGTATCAGAGGGGAAGGTTCACTGCCACCACTCCCTCAATGGATTTCTCTCTTAATTGCCAATGAGGAGACAAAACATGAAGGCTAGACAATCTGGCTAATCAATAAAAAAAGCCTGTCTTCATGTTTGCCTCGGGAGCACTGTGTATGTCAGATCGATGGAGGAGCCACCAAAGCTCTCGCAGGGGTCACCGGTGATTAAGACATTTTCTGATGGTTTTTAAACAACCCCAGAGACAAGCATCTGCCACAAGGTTGAAGATGTAAGCAGAACTAGAGATACAATGTTGATCATCACCTTCACACTTCTGGGAGTGCTCCTGGTGATGAAAACAGTATTTATGACCTCAGACAGCTGTTTTAATGAGCGATGATCAAGTATGACTTCACTGCATGCCCTGTACTCCACCAGCCATCAGATGTGATGGAGCCTCTCCAGAAGGTGCCAGGAGTCCAGGCCAGAATAACAGAAACATCCTACAGGAGTTTCTTAAGGCCAGCTTCTGCCTCCTTTTCTTTGCCTGCCCCCAAACATTCAATACGCATTTCAGGGAGACAACTCAAGCAGCAGCTCAGTGCAAAGCAGTAGATTGGTACAGTCTGCTGCTATCATCCCACCTTCTCCAGCTTTCAGAGTCTATCATCATGTTTATCACAAAGAGAAGAAAAAAAAATCCCAGCCTGTCTCAATGACTTGTGATTTTAGCTGATTCAAGTCTGCATTGAAATAAACAGAATGAAACTGCTTTTTTCACAGTTAAACTCTGAATGTTTTCTATAAGTCAGGCCTTTTAGAGTGTCCAGATAGAGCAGCTAAGGTCCTGGTCACTTGGAAACAGTTGTTTCTGTATGCATGGCTTTACACTAACATTTGGCCTGATTCCTATAAGCTTGTCTCATTTCCCATTATTATTAATGTCATAGTCACAAATTTGGCAATTTTAAACTCCACTTTTATTGTCATGCTGCAGATACATTATAAACAAATGAAAATGCCTTTATACAAGGTGATCAGTCAAAAATACTGAACTTTATCTGTTTACTTGCAGAAGAGACGTGACACGTATCTAACATCACAAGAGATATTTCTTAACAAAAAACTCTCCAATAAGGCAAATTACTTACCATCTAGCTAGAATTTTCAGCAAAAGAGTTTAATCCATACATAGAAACCTGGTACTGAATCAGATGAAAAGCAAAATATGATCACATTGATCAGGAGAGGCATCGTATTTTTTTCTCTCTATAAATTTCTTTTTTTATGGTTTTGCTCAATCAGCTGCATCCATTTCCTAGAACTTCATCAAAATACAGTTGACCTGTATCTGAATTCAACCAATGTTGCTAAGCTTGAATGATTACCAGAGCAAATAAGGACAAAAACTACAGTGGAAAACTCCAGTTGTTTGAGACTCTGTTAAGCTTCTTATAATACACTCAAAAGGCATAGGTAGATGTAGTTGTTCATGATAAAGAAAATTACACTGCTGATTTTCTTTTCAGCAGCAAGTTCAAACCTTGAACTAAAGCACAATTTGTTTTGAGGTTCAGCTTAAAAGCAGTAGTTCAAATACAAAACTTCTATTCTTAGACATAACACTCTAGTGCTTGACAGAATAAATACAAAAAAGCCCTAAACTCTAGATTGTTTGCCCAGAAGAATTTGCATTCTTGGGCCTCGGTGTTCCATGTATATATAATTTCCAGCATAATTCTATCATCTGAGTCATCTTGCCAACTATGCAGTAGATAACAATAGCACCAACTAGGAAGGAAAAGGAACAAGATGACAGAAGTGATGTTATAATTATGCAGTCACTTAGGAAGAGTGTGCACATCTGTATTTTTGTATCTATTCTAGGTGGAGCTACATGCATTACCAATATTCAAGACTGTATTTTTTGAGTCTTCCCTTGGTAAGATTGTACGCTCAGGTGCTTGCTTTTTCTCCTAAAATTGCATCTGTCTAGGGAAAATTTTCCATAGTCTTATCCACCTCAATTTCAGTATTGAGGAAGCTCCACTTCAAAAGCAGTTAAGTCACTTATGAGGAAATGATCACTTTTTTTTTTTTTTTTTTTGGTCTATGCTAAAAAAATTGCAATACTCAATTCAAAATCTTCAAAATCTAACCACCTCCACATTTAGGAATAGTGACTTTAGCAGATGGAAGTCTCAGGAGTATTTGTTGCCATTCTCAGGAAGAGACACCAAAGGGGTAAGTCCTCGAGACTTCTTCCAGAGAATCAGTTCTTTGAAACACTTCCACACTCTTAGAAATTTATGAGTTGGTCTTTGAAAATCTGTGCTAGACACCTCCTCTCATAACTGCTTAGTGGCTGGATTGTGTGACAGAAACTGGGCAAGTTCATGTGTTCCACACAACTGCTGGGCAGGATGAACAGGGTTTTTCTCAGAGTAATTATTTCCAGGGCTCTGCAGAGCTGGATGTAAATGTGAAGCATGTGCACACTTATCCATACACTTGCTACTCTCAATGGTCATAAGGAAGCAGAAGAAAGTGGAAAAGAAAAAGCACATCTTTATAGAACAACGTAGAATAGCAGAAAAAGGTGATTTTACTAAATCACTAAAGGATATGGAAATGGCTATAAAAGTATAACTGCAGCAAAACAAATGGTAAGAGAGAAAAATTTAAAAATAAAACAAAAACAAACAAAAAACCCAAACAAACAAAAAACCCACCCACATTTAGATTTAAAAGCAAAAACAACCAGGCTATAACCACAAAGCTAAATACCCTACCAGACTTTTCAGCAGCTTCCTAAGCTCCTGCAGCCTAACAACAACAAAAGTTCGGAAGGGAAGGGAAGGGAAGGGAAGGGAAGGGAAGGGAAGGGAAGGGAAGGGAAGGGAAGGGAAGGGAAGGGAAGGGAAGGGAAGGGAAGGGAAGGGAAGGGAAGGGAAGGGAAGGGAAGGGAAGGGAAGGAAGGGAAGGGAAGGGAAGGGAAGGGAAGGGAAGGGAGGAAGGGAAGGGAAGGGAAGGGAAGGGAAGGGAAGGGAAGGGAAGGGAAGGGAAGGGAAGGGAAGGGAAGGGAAGGGAAGGGAAGGGAAGGGAAGGGAAGGGAAGGGAAGGGAAGGGAAGGGAAGGGAAGGGAAGATCCTGCAGCTAAGGATGCTGAGTGCCCTGTGCTTAACCATGTATAACACGGCTTTAAGAAAGGCTGTAACAGCGCTCCCAAATGTATTTTGTGATGAGTGGAGGAATACTTGGGAAGAACTTGGGCATGGTGAGAGGAGCTCCGGAGGTGATTATGATTTTAGGGGAAGCAGAGGGTGGGCACAATATGCTCTGAAGAAGTCTGCAGCCACATGTGACTGTCTCCTCACACGCCCACAACAAGCTGCTGAATCACATCTGCTTCCTCTAATACCGGTGTTTTCTCATTTTGCGGGCTTTGCTATGCAAATCTGTTTGAAGTAACACAAGCATATACAATCATATGCATATGCTTACATGCAATGACATGAACCTTGATGTCGAGCTTGGAGAGGAACGATAGTTCTGCAAGATGGGGAGAGAGGGGGATGCAGCTGCAACGAAGTTCAGCGGGAGCAATGCCAGCACAAACCCGATCCTCCCTCTAGCGAGAGTCTTTTCAATGCTCTCCTGAGCTCTGGGGAGAGGCTGATCGAGAAATCAAAATGTTCCCCCATGACGGGCAGGGTCACCCTGCTCAGCACAGAGCTGGATCCTGCCGCGGGCACTGAGCATCCTTTCCCCGGGAGCAGCAGCTCTTTGCGAGCTGCAGCAGCTGCTGCTGAGGAAGGAACGGTCCGGCAAACCCTGCCAGCTGTGGGTGGCAGCAGCTGGATTGAGAACAAGCCGTGTAATGTCCACGCAAGGAGAGGAGCTGGTGTATTACAGAATTATAGGGGCGCAGCGTGCTGTGCTGCGGTAATCTGAGCGGCTGGGCAGGCAGGAGGGGAGTGGCTGCCTGCAGAGGCTGAGAGAGGATTTAAAGAGGTGATCAGTTGGGAAAAATATATCACATGGGGTGGGAATCCAGAGCTTCCCTCTGGCTGCCCTGGGACCCTCCTGGACAGAGCCCCCAGAGACACTGTCTGTGATCTCTGTCCATGGAAAAGAGTTTTCAATCTTACAGGATGAATTACCAGCTCTGAGTGTTTGATATGAGTAATAATTAACTGTGGCATGGACACAAAAGTAAAATTTTAGGTTTCTAGATTAGGGGTTCAAAGGGCATAAGATGGAGGAAATTGGGTGTGTCTTGTCCTTTTTCTCCTTCTTCATGCCCTCCATGTTTCACTGTGGTGTTGGCATTTTTCTGTTGGTTCAGGCTGGGGACACACTGTCCAACGTAGGTGACAGATATTGGCACGTTATTGTAAATCCAGCACAGGTAGTTTGTGGTATTTAATGTTTGTACCATCCCACTGAGGGCAGAGCCCCACACGCTGCCCTGCAGGACAGAGCTGCGGCAGGGCAGCAGAACATGTTAGAGATAAACAGAATAAACAACCTTGAAACCAGCACAGACGAATTATGGCTTCTGCTTTGGCAGCGGGGCTGAAAGACAGAGACTTTCTGCAATTTTGGGATCATCAATACCTCAGATTCCAACAACATGGGTGCTGTGAAAACTCTGTGCGAGCCAAGCACGAAAGTAAAGAGATTTGCAGGAAAGGGAGGGGAAAGGAAGTGAAGGCAGGAAGGACTCAAGTTGTGGGAAGTGTTAAATAGAAGAATGAGCCATGTAGATGTGATTTAGGGTAGAGTGGGAAGATGTCAGAAATGTTGTAGGAAGGCTTGGATTTTCTTAGCTCTGAAAAGCATTTGAGAGTTTGCTGGCTTTCAGTGCTTCTCATAGATTTCCCTGTAATTGGGGGGAACTTGGTGAAAGAGGATCATTGCATCCTGTAAAAGGCAGTGTCAAGAGCAGAGTGGGAATATTTTGGAAGAACTTACTGCTTTTACTGGTTGGGTTCTACTGCTGGCTTTAACTGGAAAAGCTTCTCCTGGAAGGATGTATTAGGGAGTTGTCTGCTGCTGTAATGCTGGGCAGTCGGGATCTGGGGAGCACTTGTGTCCCCCACTTTCCACCACCGTGTGGTTTCCAAGAACCTGGAGCTGACCAGGAAATGAGGTTATAACATTCAATTTGCTGGAAAGCAAGCATACAGACTTCTGACCCTTTGCTGTATTTTGCTCAGCACAGAAAGGAACAAAAGCACAATTAGGAAGGAAGAGATAGCCTTTATGGCATGACCAGGGCGCTGATAAATAGCTTTGGAAATGCAGTTCTTACTGCAAGTCAAGATAGAAAATCCAAATAATAATTGTATACATTGATTTAACAATGCAGCTATATGGGTTTACAGGATAGTATTGAAGAATATTAAATGAAAATCCTTGACCAGAATTCAGAAAATTATAGCATCATCAGAAGTCCTTTATATACAGAACTGTAATATATAAACCTGTAAATTTTAGTGCCCCTTTTTAGAATTTTCAGCAGGTAATAAATAACCACCTAGTGTTGTGGTCTCAGCAGGAAGAAGGAGAGTAATACCTGATTGGCACTCTAATCTGAGAAATCATAAAAAATGGGGCTAGGAAAAAAAATGTATATAACTGTATTTTTTTTCCTGCCAAAATGAGCTTTCTGGGTAATAAAGTGATACTGCAAATTTCTAGAGGTGATTGCTGTAATAAAATGGCTTCCAGAGCTTATGTGCTTTTAGGGAATGACAGAAATTGTCGTTTGATGTAGTACCAATGTTAGAAGACAGGACTGTGCTCTTGCTTTGCTAGTGGTGGTGACTTAGAAGAACTGCCTCGGTCGTTATATGTGTATAATGGGCATAATATTTCTCCCCTATGAAAAAAAGTGAATTAAGTCCATAAGAAAAAATATTCCATCCAGGAATTGGACTTCATTATTGCTCATGAGCCTACTCTGAGAAGGTTTCTCTTTAAGCCTCCCTACTGAAATGGGATAGAAGCAGAAATGTGTGCTTTGGCCATCCTAACAGCAGAAGTTTGGGAGAGTTTTGCAGTAACTTGGTGTGGTTTGGCAGTATGAAAAATGCAGTGTTAGAGCTTCCAGTGCTGCATCAAGAAGTCTGTGGCCATGCCAAAATACAGCCTGATAGAAACACATTTGCCTTCTTACAAATGTCTTCAGAAAACAAAGAGAAATTAATTTTGCAGTGGCAGTGGCACTGCTCGTTCCCTGTATAGTGGATTGTGGCTGCCATCTGTCTTGAGGTGGCAGAAGTCAGTAGATATTGCCTGATTTGTCTAATCTGCTAAGCCTGGGACTGTCTGAGAAGCTGGAACCTGATGCAGCTTGTCCAGCTTGTTGTTGCTGGCTGATGAGATAGCATGTCTATGATCTTTCTATCCATGTAAAGAGGAGCTAATCATATCTTAGCCATCTAAAAAGCCTAGCATAAATTTCTTGAAATACTTGTGACGCTAGAATAGAGGTTTTCTTTGTACCATTTGGTTGCCAAGTGTGGCATTAAGCAATAATAGCTTTCAGTCTATGAGAGTGGTAAAAAAAAATTTATGAAGTGGTTTAACCTTTTTGGCTATAAAAGCATTGAGACTTTGGCATCTGTTCCAGTCCCACTTAAATCACTGGAGTTTTTGAAACAGTAATTTTTTGTTGTTGTTGTTTTTTTGGGAGGGTATGATGAGCTCCTGCTTGTAGCCATGGCTTCATTTGCCCTAAAAATCTCCGTGTGTTTGACAGCCAGTTGACAACCATTCTTTGATCATGATTTTTTTGGGTTTTGTCATTCATTTTTCTCATGAAAAATGAAAAACAGGGACAAAAAAAAATGTATTTTCTCTGTCACTCACAGCAAAACAATAGAAGCCTTGCCTGAAATTAGGAATAATCAGTATCCAACCACTATCCATTGTAGTTAAAATGTTCTGGAATCGTGTTTCTTGGGTTTAATGTTTAATGCTATATTCATTTTTTAGCCTTAATCTACAATATAGGTACATGAACACACACACACACATGTGTACAAATGGGAGTAAAACTCTCAGTTACAGAAGTCTGATCTTGCATTTTGTGAACATGTGGAATGATGATGAAAAGCCCATAGGTAACTGGGACATGGACAAAACACAGAACTGTATCTGGAACTGGCAATACAAACAGCATTTTCTGGAAAGAAAAAGCGTGTCTTATTCTCACCCCAATTTTTGGCAAATAATTTTTGTTTCAGCATGAAACGGAAGGATAAAATAGTAGTTATTTTCACTGTGAATAATGATAAATCTCAGGATTGGAAACAACTTCTATGCCTTGTTTTATCTTCACTTCCTCAAACCAAATTAATTTGATTATATTGTGGAGCAAAATGCAGCAAATGTCCTTTTTAAAAATATATGGGAAGCAAAGTAAATAGAAAGCAAGCGTGTGTTCCTTTTTATTGTATTTTTATGGAGGTTATAACCACAGCTATTTTCCCCCAGATTTAATCTGAGTTCTTATAAGCAGTTACTCTTATGGAGTCAGTATGGACCAGATCCAAAGTTGTTCAAGTAAAATAGCAAGATTTCCAGTGATTTCAGTGGTCTTTTGATCAGGCCCTTACTCTTTTAGAAAATGTTAAGCTTAGTAGGACTATTGTATAAATGGTGCTGATGGAATTCTCTTTTGTGCCTGAAGGAGAAGAAGGTGGAGATTTACTAAGTGGTTGTCTGTAAGTACTGTTTTACTTCATTCTGTTCCCTTTCCAGCTGTTTTTGTATATAAAAAGTTAAAGTAAATCCCTTTTTAAAGGTTCACTATTGTGTTAAGGTACTTAGAGTTTAATGTCTTTGTGTCAAAGAGCTTTTATGAAAGAAGATTTGTCCAGGCATATCCTGTAATAAACATCTGGAAACTGCAGGGATTGGCCTATGGTGGCTGTATAGCAAGAATACAGTTTAACTTGCTGGCTTTACATCAGCATTAATTTCCCCTTGGTTTTTGTTTTGTTTTGTTTTGTTTTTCTTGTTTTTGTTTTAGTTTGTTTTATTTGTTTTGTTTTATTTCGTCTATTCATTTATTTATTTTTTAATCTGAATATATATGTCCTATCTTGGTCAAATGGTCTTAAATAGTCTTCTGGTTGGAACACAGCAGAAAATTCCTCATCTGGGATTGATGCTGGGAGGGCTGTATGACAGCAGATTACATCTCTGCATGATATTCACTGATTAATTGTTTGAAGAGCAAGGTTTCTCATCTCTAAAGACAATTTCCTTTAGTACAAAATATATACGAAAATGATTATGTCTAGATTAGTCAAAAGAAAAAGTTGCCACAGAGGTAATAGGCAACATTTGTGTGTGGGCCAGAAGTTTAATTAGGATTTAGCAAAACAAAAAGTTAGAGCTTTAGCCCATCTGACACAAACCAGAAGTGAAAGCCCTTAAACAGTTTGGGGGATTGTGGGAGAGAATTTAATGTTTTTTACAAAATGAAAAGGGAAAGACAATGACTAGTTTCAATAGTAATGATGAAGATGGGGAAAATTGCAGAAAATACCATAAAAGAATAAAGAAATAGAAGTTTGCAAAAGTCTCAGAGGGAAAATTAGGTAAGGGAAGTTCTAGCAAAAAAGAAGTAGAATATGAAGTAGTAATTCCTTTGCTACATTTATAGTCCTGTGAATGAACAAGCAAAACCAAAATCCATATTTTGGATGTGATGATGCTGAACAGTAATGATCTGTAATAGCAAGAGTCAACATCAAAGTTCTCAGATGACAATAGGAGGCTTTAGAAAATAATTTTAAGTGTATGACTTAATCGGTAATTCTTGGAGAATTATTATCACTGGCAGTCCAGGAACAGATTAATTGAGTGGACATGCAGAAATAGAGTTATCATCTCCCCAATTTAGCTGCACTTACCCAAAGTGCAGCTTGACTCTTGCAGACGAAATGGGGCTAGGTCAGTCAAGGGGAAAGTGAGGGGAGTGAGTCAGCCCTTGGACAGAGGCACAAACCTGGATTCACACACACCATCACAGAGCCACAAGGCTGAAGAGAGCTTGAAGATCATCGAGTCCAACCCATGCCCTAAAACCACCACAACCAAACCATGGCAACCAGTGCCACATCCAGTCTCTTTTTAAACACACCCAGGGGTGGTGACTCCACCACCTCCCTGGGCAGCCATTCCAGAACTTTATCACCCTTTCTGTAAAAAACTTGTTCCTAATACCCAGCCTAGATTTCCCTTGGCACAGCTTGAGACTGTGTCCTATTACTCTGTCCCTTCAGTCTTTTGAGCAATGGAAACAGCATTTCCATGTGCCAGCAGTGCTTGCTGAAACCAAAAAAGGTTTACCAGAAGCACAGCACCACCAGGAGTACCATGGAGAAGATGCTGACCAAGGACCCAGGGGAAGGTAGTTCACCTCTGAACCTCATTGTCTCTCAGAACTCCCTGTGACTATTCCTCACAGGCCTTCCAGCAAAAGGAAGATTTTAATTGCTTTGAGAAAGAATATAAAGATGAAAATGAGAAATGCAAGTGCTTACAGATACTTGCAGGTATTCACTCTAAGTGCCTTTGTTCAAAAAGTCCCCAGCTCTATTTCAGTCTGAAGGAGGAAAAAATTTGCTTCTGACACATTTAAAACTAATTTTGTTCTCATTTGTGTGAGAAGATAAATTGTGATGCTCATGAAAGTATTTCATTTTAATTGTGTATGTTAAAATATGTTAAGCATACAGGATGGTTAGATTTAGTCCTTGGAAGTTTTATTTTATTGCTCTGTGTATTTCACCTGTACTTCCCATCTGTATAACATACATATTATGAATCTACAAAGTTTTACTGTATTTCTCTGCTGTCTCACCTCTGTTTTTATTGAAGAGGCCTGCCTTAGGAAGCCATGCTTTCTAAGCCCATAGACTTATTAGCTCAAACTGCTAATAAAGCCAGCTAATATTAATGATGGTGTGGGTGTGTGGCTCACATGGGGAGCAGCAGGATTACTCTTAGAACCAGAGTGGATGCAGTCTGTTGCAGCAGTATGAGCAGGTAGCGGGTCTTCTCAAGTAGGGGTCATCTAGAAATAAAATTTCTCAGACCAGCACCATGCAGACCTGTGCTCAGTGCTCACATGGAGCTTCTCATCCCATCCATCATAAATCTTCTAACAGAAAAGGGTGCAAAGGCATCATCTCAGTTTGGGTTGTGTTTACCCTGTCCAACCTATGGACTCGTGCTTTTATTTATATCCAGAGCCCGTAGTGGGAGAAGACTGCAAGAGGCATTAACAGTGTCCTTTTTCCTTTTTCCCAGCATAATTTAGAGGGGATTATGGGTGTGCTCAGGTGGGTTCCCTGCTCTGAGCATGTGGGGAGCTGCCATCCCCTGTCTCTCCCCTTCTCTTTTACTGAGGTCCTTCTAAGGCATTTTCTCTTTCCTTCCACCTCTCCAAATGGGATTGCGCCATCATTTTGTTGTGTCCAGAGGTGACTTCAGACTTACATGATTTGTGTTCTCCTCTCTTTGCTGGCTTGGCAGGTTGTATGGAAGCCACTTGTCCACACAAATGCTTAAATTAAGTGCCCTGGGTTAGCCAGTGGGGAATAGGCTTTGAATCCTGTACCACAGACTTCCAGGTGCTAGACCAGACATAATACATGCCTCGGGTTTGATTACATGTTATATTATTGATTATATTTGATTAGATATATGCTGTAGGATCAAATTCTTAAGAGAATTTCATACTTAAAATCAATTGATCCAGACAACTATGTTCATTAAGGAAAAAAAAATCTGAAATACCTGTTTGAAACTGACTGAAACGAAGTTTAGTTCTGGTTTTCACAGTTCCTGCAGTTATGTGAAATAGTGGAGTTCAGTTTAATTGATCATGCACAATGTGTTTGCACGTTGTTAATTTCAAAATCCAAGGCTTAATGTTAAAGTTGGAATTTGAATGACCTAAACAGACAAATAACAAATTTTTTATATACACCAAATTTTTCACTTGCTATGATTCTAATGCTTAGAAACCTTATTTAATGATAGCTAATACAGTGATACTGATTTTGTCCCTGCTGTGTTCATTATTAACCCCAGAAGGCAATGGAAATTTTATTAGAGTATAATATATCAGTACTGGATATTAATACTGTGCCTGACTATGTTGTGAAAAAAAATGAAGAAGGAGCCTGCAAATATTTGTAAGTTAATTGCCTGACTTAGAAACCACTAATGTACATGAATAGCATTTACTCACAGAGATTGTCTAGGTAAATTCAAAATCTGTCCAAGGAGTAGTTGTGAAACAAAGCCATAAATCACACCTTTATGGCAAGTTTAAGAAATGTTAATGAGAAGAGGCACCCTCAAGGTATTATGGAAACTTGAGCAGTTTTCATGAACAGTATTTTAAAGTCATGTATCATTAAATAAAGGAACCGGTCAAAATTTAAAAACAAAGAACCAGAAGTTAAGGTTAGTTTGCCTATATTAAAAGGAATAAATCTGGAACTGCCATTAGCTCATGGGAGCTATTTACATTCTACCTGACAACAACAGCCACAATGTCCATGTTCCTTCAAACCTAGTCTACCATACTCAGTGGCTGAGTTTTACGTGCCCACACATTTATTTCATTTATTTTTGTGTCTGACCAGTGCTGGAGCAGAATCAGTGGGTGGGCCATCAGCTGAGCCATGAAGGAGCCTGGCACTCAGCAATATGGGCACAAATGTTATTGGGCCTGCCTTCTGGCTAGGTGAAAATCATCCACCAGGGTTTCAGCTGTGCCTTGTTTACCTGAGCAGTGAGTTGGGATAATGGCACTAGAGAGAGCAGCAGAAAATTATAATCTGATGGCCCAAAAAAATTCCTGTCTCAGAGAAGGTGATTTCTTAAGTCACCTGCAGATCATCCCTATCTGGGATGGTTAATTGGGGTGCATATAGCCAGGTGCAAAGAATTTCTGCAAATTCAGGAAGTCACAGCCAAGGGAGTCTTCCAGGAGGGAGACTGTGCATTGGAGGATGCAGCAGCCTACGTGCAGTTGCAGTCCTTTGTGGATCCTGGTGTAGTGAAAGAGGTAAACCCAGTGGCCCTAGGGAATAGCAGAGGATGAATGTTGTCCTTTGAGCAGGGTTAATTTCTCCTGTGACCTGAGGTGGGCCTCTCCAGCCCTATTCTGCGTGCTCAAAGCCTATCAGCACTAATTTCAGCACCTTCTGTGCAGGCAGGACCATCGGGGTGCCCAGTGGGGCTGCCCTGCCAATGCTGCAGCTAAACGTGGGTGAGGCTGTGTGGTGGCAGGTTCCATGGGCCTGTGTCCCATGGCATGATGTCACAGCAGAACACCCACAGCAACAGCTCCTGCTCCTTCCAGTGTCCCTGGAGCACTGTCTCTGGAGAAGCCTGGGTGACACCAGGACTGCTGTCACCAGCATTCTGCCCTGCAGGAGCTGTCCTGCTGCCAGGAGGTGGAGGGAGGCTGTGGCAGAGACACTGCTTGAGAAGTGTTGAGGAGGAGGAGAGGAGCAGAGGGGTTTTGCTGCAGGAAAAGCACCTGTTCCCCAGCTGCTGCAGTGCAGCAGAGCGAGGATGCAGAAGTACCTGCTCTATAACGCTGTGGAGCCAGACGAGCTCCCAATCCTCAAGGAGCTCAGCACCATAGGTAAGGCCCCAGGGGTCCCTTGCAGGAGCACTGTCAGTGCCAGGATCACATGGAGACAAGCTGTGGAGTGCCTGAGGATGGGGTCATAGGTGGGACCCCTCTGGAGGGCACAAACTACTGCAAGGAGAGCCCTCCCTGCTTTGTTGTGCCTTGGAGCTCAAAGGTACCTTTGGTAGCTGTGACATGCCACCCTTAAAGAGAAGGCAACACCTAAGATTCATAGATGTGTGTGGTAGAAGTGATATTCTAAAGATCACTTGCTTTTTATGTGTTTTTCATATATAGGTAGGCCTATAGATTACTATTACATAGTTATGTAGCTCCCTTTCTCTTAGATTTTAGAGTAATAAATTAACCACATAACAGATTCACGAAATACTGTTTAGTCTTATTTTCAAGAAGATAATCTAGAAGCACATCTTGTTTTCCAATCGGAATCTGAGAAGGCACAACAAGAAGTGGAGCAAAGAAGCCCTGGACCAACTCCAATGGGGCACTGTCCAAGGAAAACTTACATAGCAAACTGCTCTTCTAATTGGACAAAGTTTGTTAGATGTGATGATTTGCTAAATGTATAAAATGGTAGAAATCTGATGCCAGGTGTGTCCATGACCACTGGGACACCTGGAAGCTTCCAAATAAAGACCTGCTTTTTATTTTACTATTTTAACAGTGTTGCAAGGGTTTTTCTCTTATGATATCAGACAACAGCAGGGAACAACAAAAATCAGAGGGTTCACAAGAACTCACCACGTTTTATTTTAAAAATTCCAGAGTTGGCATGGAAATGTCTGTGTTAGTCCCTGACTTACTGCTTTATAAGCACATGGATATAAGTCCAGGGTCGTGGGGGCTCTGACCAGGATTTCTGGGGTACCTTTTTATAGATAGGTTTCTTGCTCTCTACACAAATTAGTTGAAGAAACACATGCAGTCTGTTTTTGGGAAATGGGTGAGAGGGCTTTGGGGGGTTTTGTGGTCTTGATTCCCCTATAATTCATGCCTATTTCTTGGCCTCTTTCCTGCTCTTGTGCTGTACTGTGTTGTGCTTATCTCCAGGATCTAGAACAAGGATGTCTGTCCCAGAAAAGTGCTGCTCTACTTCCACATGGCCCATTCCTCCAGCCCCCTTTTATCCTTGCCCACAGGGTGTTGATACCAGCCACCCTTGGTTAGCTCTGCAGCCATCCGGCTATTTATTTCTTTACTATTATGTAAATAAATAATGTGTATTATGTAAATATATAATGTGTATGTATTTAGACATTTTCTTTCCAGAAATCTGCAAAGTCTGGTCTGGAATGTCTCGGCACATCTACAGACAGCTCTTGAAGAAGAAGGTGAGTCTTGCCTCCGGCATGTGCCTCATCCTGCCCCCCTGGGGCTCCGGGGCAAGGCTCAAAGTGCCATCCCCAGGGCCATGCAAGTCATCTGGCAGCCTCCTTACCTTTGGGCAGCCCTTCCAACACTTGCTCTTGCTCGTGCTTTCAGGCAGTGGAGATTGGAATTGGGAGTTTTGCGGTTATCCCATCACACGCCAATGTGGCAGAGGGCAAGGTTTTGCCTGTTGAGAGACCTATGTTCATTATGAGCAAGACTCTGAAGATGTTTTACAACCTTGAGAGTGATGAGACCAAAATTCCTGGTAAGAAGATGGGATCTTTTCCTTGCACAGACCTTGCATTTTGGCTCAGTGCTAACACATCTAACATAACAAAGACTCTTCCAACCTGCAAAGTACCTAGTGTGGGCACAGATGTGATAGCCCAGCACCCTGCTCCTCCCTGAGAACCAGCCTCATCTGCTCAGCTCCCCTGTGCTCCAAGCTGGGTGCTCACAGCAGGAGGCAGAGCTTTGCTTGGCCTTTCCTGTCCTCTGTGTCCATTCTGGAGATGCTAATGAAGCTGAAAGAGGGGGCTCTGCCTGGCAGTGTTGCCTGGGAGCTGGGTGCTGGTGACCTGTAGTTTCTGAGTTGGCTGAACTGGTGGTGAGAGAGACGCCGTTACTTTGTGCTTGTTCACTAGATGAGATGCCTGTTGTTCAGCCAGACTTTGAAGAGATCGCCGCAAAAACCCACTTTCGCCAGGAAGTTGTGGAGCATTGTGTACAGCAGACCCTGCTTTACTTTGCTGAGGCCCTCCGAGACAACAAAGAGGTGGAGTTCACGTTCAGGAGCATCGGTATCCTGGCTGTGCGAGCAAAAGTGGTCAGCATGATCTTCTTCGACAGCTTCCTGCTGGAGATGGATACGACAGGAAACATGCTGGAAGCCCTTCTCGAGGTGAGCTTGTCATTTCTGTGGGATTCCTCTTCACGGCTCTGTGGCAATGTGCTGTCCAAACGTTCCAGCTGCCTTGTCTGGGCTGTTGTCACCTGCCTCGCCACCAGCCTAGGCACAGTCCCAGTCAGCTAGCCCAAGTCTCAGGAAGGTGTGTGAGGCTTTCTGAGAAGCAGCCCTTGTGTCTTTGAGTACCCAGGTGGTTTGCTGCTACTCTGAGCACCAGCACATGTTCTGGATTTCTGCTGATGTATTGCTGTTCCCTTCCAGGACCCCAACATGATGACCATTGTTGCCTTTCCAGGCCAAAACAAGTTTAGTCGGGTCAGTCAAGATGAGGTTGTCATGCTGCCAAGGTGAGCAGGATGGCTGCTACAATCCTTAGCTCGTCAAGCACTTGTTCAGACCTTGTCTTGGGGTACCCTCCTGCTGAGGCTCCTTTACAGCCAAACTTGGGCAAGAGCAGCCATTTCACAGGAGAGCTTCTCTCTCCACTGCTCACTCCTCCCTGGCTTTTTGAGGTTGCATGTCGGAACTCAAAATGTCCCTCAGACATTTTAGGAGGTTCTGGGCCCAGGTCAGAAGCATTTGAGACCCTGGCAGGCAGCTGGAAACAGCTGTGATTTTGGGTTTGAACCATGGAACGATTTACCAACCTTGCAGGAAGAACAAGAAGTCACAAAAGTTTAGATATTATAGTAGAAGTAGTCACAAAGTAAAGGGAAGAATTTTTGAGTGCTGTACAGGGGGGTTTTGGTTTTGTACATGGGGGTCAGAGGTTTTAAGATGGAGGAATTTGGGCCTGCCCTGTCCTCCCTCTTTCTCCTTCCTCACCTCCATGTTCTTGGTGATGTTGGCACTCACAGATTGGTTTAGAGTAGAAAAGCACCATTTAATATAGGTAATGGGCATTGGGGAAAAACTGTACCCATGTAACACGTAATGTACCATATAAAAGATAGAAAAGCACCATTTAATATAGGTAATAGGCATTGGGGACAAACTGTACCCATGTAACACGGAATGTACCATATAAAAGACAGCAGCAGCCCTGGGCGGGGAGAGAAGAAGCAGAAGGAGTCAGAGAGGATGTCAGGGTGTGTGTGTGCCTCTGCCTGAGCTGTGAGCAAACCACAGCAGCCCCAGAAGAAAATCTTTTAGATAACTTGAAATAAACTGCCTTGAGACCAACAACAGAGACTGCTGAGCCTTTCTTTGGAAGCACGGGTTGGAGGAGAGACTTTTCCACCCCATGGAGCAACCCCGAACTAGGGATTGCTCCGGCAGTTGCAGATGAAGTGGACATTCTGCTTCCAACATGCCCCAAGAGAGGTGGGAGAGTCTGTGCAGGCAGCAAGGACAGCATATGCATTCTGTCCTCCAAGGACTTAGGCAGTACCCCCCAGAGATGTGTGTCAGCCTCCAGGAAAGCCTGCTACCCCAGCTTTACCCAGCTGGTGCCTTCTTGTCCCCAGTTTTGTAGCCGAGACCCCGCACCAGCCATCGGCCCCGCCGGTTTCCCTGAAGCCCAGAAGAGAGTCGGCACCTTGGGGCGGGGGTTATCGCAGAGGTATGTCCCAGCTGTGAGGGAACCTTTTCTGGAAGAGGCTTTGAGCTGTGGGGAGCCCCTACAACCCCAGTTTCCCTGGGATTCCTCAGTACCTCCCAGTTCTTCCCACTGGTGTGTCCCTCCTGCTGGAAAGGTATAAGAGGGAGATGAGAAAACCATGCCTGGGGTGGTGGGTGGCTTGGTGGGAATTCAGTTCTGGAGCAAATCCAGTGTGGACAAAATAAAAGGGCCTGCCTGGAACTGTGACTCCTAGGAGTGGCAAGGACTGTCAGGAAGCCTCGTGTAGCATGAGTGTGCAGCTCTGCCACATGGTCTCAGAGATTGTGTGCTCTTCTCTTGCAGTGAGTGTGCTGGACCCAGTGTTCCTGGCTCGGCGGAGGGTTTCTCAGGCCAGTCAGCAGTCAGTGGACGTGGATCACACTAGAGACAAGGAAGCTGGCCAGGGCGGGTGAGCCTTGTAGGGGAGTGGTGTGGCTGAAGGCACACCTCATTATCACTTGTGATAATGGGTGATGATTCCCTTGTCTGCCAAACAACCCTGGAGACACTGTCCTGCTGGACAAGTTGTCTACTTACTCTTACTGAGCTGCTGGGTGGTGCCAGAGGACAGGCTGCCATCCCACAGATTCAAGCTCACACTCAGCTCTCACAAGCCCAGGCTGTCCTTTTTAGGTACCTGCCCGTGATCCATGAGAAGACCGAGATGATGCTGAAGCACCCCGCATCTCCAGTTCAGCAGGGGTTGAAGGTCTCTGCAAGCACTTCCCGACGCCTAGAAGCGGTAGGTACATCAGCCTAGGGTTTGGCCAGTCCTGTATCATGGCCTGGGCTCTGGGCCAGGGCAGCAGAGGCAGCAAGAGCTGCCCGTGGTCCCAGCCCTCCTGCCCTGCCCAAGCTGGAGGTGGCTAACGCTGCATGTGTGCCTTCAGAGGATGCAGCCCCTCTACACTGAGAAGGAGGAGAGAGAGCTGCAGCTGCTGCTGGCATCCAAGCGCCGGGAGGTGGAAGCAGAAGTGTATCACAAATACTTTGGCAACCGAGCGACCACCGAGCGAGGACAGGTATTGTCGGAATCTGTGGGTATTGGTGATCCCGAGATTGTAGAAAGTCTCTGTCTTTCTGCCCCGCTGCCAAAGCAGAAGCCATAATTGGTCTGTGCTGTTTCAAGGTTGTTTATTCTGTTTATCTCTAACATGTTCTGCTGCCCTGCCGCAGCTCTGTCCTGCAGGGCAGCGTGTGGGGCTCTGCCCTCAGTGGGATGGTACAAACATTAAATACCACAAACTACCTGTGCTGGATTTACAATAACGTGCCAATATCTGTCACCTACGTTGGACAGTGTGTCCCCAGCCTGAACCAACAGAAAAATGCCAACACTACAGTGAAACATGGAGGGCATGAAGAAGGAGAAAAAGGACAAGACACACCCAATTTCCTCCATCTTGTCCCCTCTGAACCCCTAATCTAGAAACCTAAAATTTTACTTTTGCACCCGTGCCACACTTAATTATTACTCATATCAAACACTCAGAGCTGGTAATTCATCCTGTAAGACTGAAAACTCTTTTCCATGGACAGAGATCCCAGACAGTGTCTCTGGGGGCTCTGTCCAGGGGGGTTCCTGACCCCTGCCAGGGTCCCAGACCTGCCAGGGCAGCCAGAGGGATGCCCTGGATTCCCACAAGGTATGGCACGCCCTGCACAGTCCCAGGAAAAGGACGTCTTGCCTTGCTGCTCGGTGGGAAGAAAGAGGCCTGGCTCAGCAGTACTGTGGCTGGGGGCTGCCGGCAGAATTGTCCCCGAGGCTCCGTGCTGGAGCGTGCAGCCTCCCTGAGCCCTGAGCCCTGACCAGGCCCTGCAAGGCTGAAGCGCTGAGAGGAGCCCCAGCAGCCGGCGGCATGCTTCAGGAGAGCCTCCTTTGCCTTTGCAGACCTCCTGCCCCTACGTGTTTGAGGATCCCTACCGCCCTTCCCATGTCTTGAGACAGGCCTACGCCGAGCGGCTGAGCGCCTCGGAGCGGCAGGCCGAGCCCCGGCTCTCACGGACAGCACTGGAAGAGTAAGTGAGGTGGAGCGAGGAGCCACAACAGGCCCTGTAGAGCAGTGGGGTGCTCAGGGGCACTGGCAGCCCTCCTGCCCAGCCCCAGAGCTGAGGCTCGTGCTGCTGTTTCCTTCAGCAAGGGCGTGCAGACGGCTCTGCTGGAGCGCTGAGGAGGAGGCACGGCAGCTGCCAGCCCTGCCAAGAAGCTGCAAGCAGCCCTGCAGAGACTCCCGTCACAGCGTTCGTCCTTTCCAGAAGGGATCCAGGGGCAAAGAATGCCTTAGCTAAGGAGAATGTGCCAAATAAAGGTCGCTGAGCTGCACCAGAGTTGTCAGAATCTGTGGGTATTGGCGATTCTGAGATTGTAGAAAGTCTCTGTCTTTCAGCCCCGCTGCCAAACCAGAAGCCATAATTGGTCTGTGCTGGTTTCAAGGTTGTTTATTCTGTTTATCTCTAACATGTTCTGCTGCCCTGCCGCAGCTCTGTCCTGCAGGGCAGCGTGTGGGGCTCTGCCCTCAGTGGGATGGTACAAACATTAAATACCACAAACTACCTGTGCTGGATTTACAATAACGTGCCAATATCTGTCACCTACGTTGGACAGTGTGTCCCCAGCCTGAACCAACAGAAAAATGCCAACACTACAGTGAAACATGGAGGGCATGAAGAAGGAGAAAAAGGACAAGGCACACCCAATTCCTCCATCTTGTCCCCTCTGAACCCCTAATCTAGAAACCTAAAATTTTACTTTTGCACCCATGCCACACTTAATTATTACTGATATCAAACACTCAGAGCTTGTAATTCATCCTGTAAGATTGAAAACTCTTTTCCATGGGCAGAGATCACAGACAGTGTCTCTGGGGGCTCTGTCCAGGGGGGTTCCTGACCCCTGCAGGGTCCCAGACCTGCCAGGGCAGCCAGAGGGAAGCTCTGGATTCCCACACAGAGTGACCCTGCTGATGCTTTCATTGCCTGTCTTTGCAGCCAAGCAAAGCCCTGGTCAAAGAGCAAACGGGCTGGAGGTACCTGGCCCTGTCAAGCAGTCATGACAGGCTGTGGGACTGAAAAAGTGGTGTCCTCTCCAGGGGAAGGAGCATGGGGGCTGCAGAACACAGCTTCTCTGCATCCAAACCTACTCTGTAGGGATAACCACCTGTGGCTGGCCACAGGACTGCCAGGGCACGTTCAGTCTGGCAAAAGCCAACTTGGTGCTGCTCGAAGGGCTACATTTGCACAGAGAAATGTGCTTCAGTGAAGAAACTCCTTATTTTAGCCCATGGCTGACCCTCAGGAACAATACAGTGGCCTTCTTAGGAGAAAGCTTATTCATTTCAGGAAGAGAAACTTTTGAAAGTGGGAAGCTCCTTTTTATTGGCAAAGTAAACTACAGCATGAACAAGGAAGCCGCAACCTGGAAAGGTAAAAGAGCACTAGCAGCAGCATTTGCAACTATGCCAGACCCTGTCAGACCCTGGGGTCTCCACTGGGACTGGCACTGCTGAATATCATCTTCCTTAATGCCATAGCTAGTGAGATTAAGTGCAGCCTCAGCACATTTGCAGGTCTCTTGGGAGCAGGAGCCAGACTGGCAGTTTTGGAGGTAGATCTTCACTCTGTGGACTTTATTACAGGACTTATCCAGGCACGGAGGAGACAGAAAACCTTTTGGGCTTCCTTTCCAGGTTCCCAGGCTTCCCAAAATATAATTTCCTGATTCTGCTACTGGCAGCAGGTCCACAGTAGCTGGTCTGTAGCCAGCAGTCTCTGGTGGCATTAGCAGCTGGCTTAACTGGCTTGACAGGGACAGAGGTGACACAGGGCCGTGAGAGCTGGCTTAGATGTTTGAAGTCACATTGCATTTTGGTTGCAAATTTAGGTGATTAATTGGTTATATGTGTCATTTTTCTTTTTCATTTTTTGTTTTAACTACCTGGGGTGTCGTTTCTGTTGAGAGGCTGAGGGGAGCAGGAGGTATTGGGCAAAGGTGAACTGCTTCAGCAAACAGCAGCTCAGAAGTGAAGCAGTGGGACTGGGGAGCTGGGAGCATTTTCCTAAACCTGCCCTGCCTTGCACAGTGGGCTTGGCCCCCAGGCAAGATGCACTGGCACTGGAAGGAGGTGGCATCCTTCCCTTCCCTGCCCCTCCCTGTCCCCCAGGAGTGAGAGCCACCAGCGTGGGAAGAAGAAAGCCATGACCTGTAAAAGAGAACTAGAAGCAGCAGCTCCTCAGACCCACCTTTCCTAGCTGAGGAAGGAGACTTCAGATCCCATTCATGAACCTCCATCAGCTACGTGGTCCTGTGTGCCAGTCACAGCTGATTTACAACAGTGGTGTGAAAGACTAACAGGTTTGTGTGCAGCTAAAATGATGGACGAGGTGTAAGGGCTGGCCATTTGCCTGCTGCTATCACACAGCAGAATTTATAGAATTTTAAAGTGTAAAGATGGCCAGATTTGTTGGTTTTCTAAACCTTTTTAGCATAGTGCACCCAAGTTCCTCAAGTGATACGTTGATATGTATTGTGTATATGTGATATGTATTAATTTTCAGCACAGAGAGGCAGCCAGAAGGAGCAGAAGAAAGCTAGTGTACTTAGAGTTATTTTCACTCTTGTACCTTGAAAAAGAAATCTGTAGGACCAGAAGAGTATCTTGGCCAGCTTTTGCTTAAAGATGCTGTGGATGATTTAAAGTAAGATAAAGGTCTGATAATTGACTGTCGTATTGAGGGCAAATACTTCAGCATTGTGGTTTAAAATTGATACGTGCTCCCCCAAAACTGAGGCAGGGCTTTAAAGTGAGCTGTGTGTTTAGCCAGAAGCCCACGAAGGACTAATAGCCTCTGGAATGTCTTGGGAAGGTACAACTCTCACTTTGGTGGAATTTAGTGCAGCAAGTTGCTGGTGAAACCAGTTTTGCTTTGATCAGCATATTGCTTCTGATGATCAGCTCCTTGCTAGGGGGCACAGAGTCTCAGACCCTGGCCTATGAAATGTTGGACTGGCCTTTCAGGAAGGTGCATGCTTGCATATTATTCTGCTTTCAAGCAGCTAATGTATAATTAGCATGCTTACCTTATTGGCTGTTGGTTTTTTCTGTCAAGTGACTGAATTATTGCCTGAGAATGGTATGTGTTCACCTAAACAAAAGCCTTGCACAGTTAAAAGGCAGGCATTCTTTCAAGATGTGATTGCATTTAAAAAAAAAAAGTAGTCCATTACCAATAGAATATGGAGCAGTAACCCTTGCTCCTAAACATAGACAGTAATCTAACCGGAGCTGTAAAAACTGACTTCTTGAACAACTGGTGAAACTTCTAATCCTTCTGGGGAAATAAGTGTGTGTTAATTAAGAGCCAGGATTCCATGAGGCTTATTAGCTGTCTAGCTGGATCTGAGAAGCAGAAGGCTGAGCAGAGTTTAACTAAAATTTAGAACTGTTAATTAGTCTGCTTTCTTTCTAGTCTCCTCTCTATTTTCCTGGTTTTGGTTTGTGTAGCACACTTTGAATGACCCAGTAGCTGCTGCTACTGTGCTTCTGACGTGATAGCTCCCAATTGTAAATGCTGTACTTTTCTAGCTGTGAAAGAATAAAGCTTTAAAAGAGCTTGGCTGCCCTCAGCTACAAGCTGGCTTGTTATGGATGAAGAAATGACAGAAAGTGGAAAAAGCAGGCTGGCTAATCTTGTTAAATTGGCTGAGTAATGTTGCATTCACAATATGTGAACTCCATGCTGCAAGGCACAGATGCTTTAATAAACTTTACATGACCTGTCTTACTTTAGCACTCTTTACAGGGCTCAGAAAATATTTGATAGGTGCATGGAAACCTAAAAATGAAACCACCTTCCTCACAGACCTCTGTTTTGGGAGTTACTGATATGGGAATTTGTGACTGTGCAAAGGTTGTGCTTCCCTGAGGCATGCCTGGGCAAGATAAGGAGGGAAAGGTAAAACCTGAAACCTGTTTTATTAGGTTCAAAAGTTTGTTAAACAGCAATGTGAACCGTTTCCTGATTTTTTCACTTGGATATTATGGCTCAGTTTCCATTTTGGTGGGGTGGGGTGAGGGGTGTGCTAGCATGCAGTGCAAAGCTTCCAGCGATTCTGATATGCTGTGAGATGAACTGAACAAAACAGCTGCTATTTAACCTCAATAGCCCCTGAGAGCCCCAGTGAAACAATTTTGAGCCTGATGAGTAGGAATGGTTTGAAGGTCTGTTGTAAAAGAATTCTACTTGAATTCTATTTGTTAATTTGTTAATTAGAATTGTCAGAGTCTGCTCTGTATTTCTTACAATGACTACCACTTCATTCTAGGGGTGTAATGAAGCCCTTGAGCTAATTTGACTTCTGGCTTCAGTCCTGTTACATTTTAATGCCCCACTTTTAGACGTTTTGTTGTTCTACTCATTGCAATGTTTATATCTTCCTTTCAGTTTGTAGTGTGTCTCAACTAAGACATTTGCATCAATATAAATGCATTTGCCTAATACAGATGCACTGAAAGGGAATATGCATCAGAATGACTAATCCTGGTAACTTCAATGGGTTCACACCAGTAAGGTGTGCCTGTATTTTAATTCAGAAGTTTGGTGGGTAGAAGCCAAGTGGAAAAGGGCATTAAGTGTGATGTAGCTAGCCCTGGAGTAATAAATGGAAATAGTACTTGGATCTGTAAAAATGTTCTAATCATGCAGATTAGAGTAGTTGTGCTGTATGATTACAGCCCTATTGTACCAAGAATTTGAGGGTGATGAGGTTTTTTTTCTCATATCTTTAGTTCTTTAGTTATTACCCCACTCCTTTAAAATACACTTTTTTGTTTGTTTGTTTGTTTTTGTTTTGTTTTGTTTTGTTTTTCTAATTAGGAGTAGCCTAAGAATATCTCTTAAAGCTAAATTTGAGGAGCCCCTGAAACAATCAGATGCCTGGTCCTAAATGCAGCAGTATAGAAGCATTAGTAAGAAACCCAAAAGCTGTTACAGAGAGCACTTATTGTGTGATTCTTTTGCCAGTGTTTGAATTCTTCCACTACTAAATCTTGGGTTTGTTTCTTGTTACCACAGTAGCTTTTCTGTCAAATACACTTCACAGCTTTCTGATCTGACACCCTCTTGGCAAGAATTCCTTGCTTGGAACTAAACGATGTACGTCTAGTTTAAATGTGAAGTTAAAGGTTTGTTTTATAAAGGGTCATCCTTAGTCATATGCAGGTAAGTGTCTTAAGTGGTGTTGTTTTGAACAATTAAATCCTCTTATTTTTAATAGAGGAAGAAAACTACCTTTTAAAAATATTAGAAGACTTATAAGTCCAAGCA